CTCATACTAATTACCCTCACCAAGTTTGTTCGTTAGTTAGCCGGATTACCCATAAAACAACCAATTTTCACAACATTTTTTTCCATTTTTACTGATATCGTTTTTTAACAATGATATTAATGAGTGTGTGCAATTTGATGCAGATCCAAATAAAAATCAGATTTAAATGGGGTTTCACACGACTCTTGGGCTTAGGCAGAGGAATGCACTCTAGTGTCATTCTGGAATGCCCTTTAACGTTAAGTGGACTAATGTTTCTAAATAGTTTATACTTACATTTATTCTTTAACTCATGATGACTGATTAATGCAAGTTTTCTAAAGGTTAACAAGAAAATGTCTGTACTATCTAAACCCATCAGCCATTAAAACCAGTAACTGGTTTACACTCCATGCATCGACTATTATTTTGTCCGATCAATCATTTATAATCACTGCAATTACATCACATCACCACACTGATTTAGCATGTGCCCATTATTTCCATCCGTCACATTGAGAACATTCGCTCAGCTGCTCACTGAAGCGTCTGAGCTGGTCAGAGTGCCTCGCCATGTGAGACCACTGACATGTTATTGACAGATGGCCATGCACCTGCCCTCCACGGGAGACTTCCAAACCAAACAACTACTGGATACACCGAGGTGATCCTCACATCAATATCAATCAATTATTCACATATTTGTGCTGGCTCGCAATAAACCAGCTTGACTGCTTTTCACAAGTGCTAGACCGACATGCATCTTTTAGGAGGGGAATGGAGGGGGTCCAGCTATTACCCTGCGTTTGATCCTATGGCTGCGGTGAACTAACTTTCGCACTGTCACAGTGCGACATAGAACTGCGTTAAAGTGGGTCAATGACTCTTATTGTCTGCATTACAGCCATTAGCTTTTATAGAGGGATACATGAGTTGTACTGGCTCTATATTTGAAGTAACATGCAGAGCAGCCTGTTTTATTCATTGTCAAATAGCTTTCGATACAAAGCCGAGGTCAAGCCTTAAACTTTTCTGCATACTAAGTGCACTTGAACTGAATACATAACTACAGAGGAATATTTTTGTGTGGGCGCCTCAGTTAAAGTACATGCTGGGGGAAGAAGTGGCAGTAGCAATAGTACTGTAGTTATGCAAGCAGCTGTGTTTAGTGGCTTTGGCAGTTCTTGAGGGAGATCTAGTTTATTATTCCTTGTTTAGTCAGCCTCTCTGGACTTTTTCCTTGAAGTGCTTCATATGAAGTATAAAAGTACTATAGTACTACACAGTGCTTAATGAGGTTTGCTTTAGCACATACCATCACACACTCGCCTGTTTCTCTCCATCATTCTACACAGAAATATTAAAGCTGTGCCCCGAGGTCGATGACAACAGCCCTCATACCGTCAGTGTGCCCTTGCATTCGCCGTAGCCACAACTGTGAGAGGCAATGATTCATTTTTTTTGATCCACTCCAATATCATTAAGTTATTAGTTGATTTCAGTGGATTTAATCAACATAGTAATTCCTCTCCATGGGAAGATAAGTCTCTCTCAAGAGCAGTTTCGCCGTCCACTATGCCGGCTGATTAGACACAAGCCCCCAAAATAATTCATCAGAAAACTGCAAAAAATAATTTATCAAAAGTGCTTCTCACAAAATCCGCTCAGGACCTTTGCTTCTTAATAATTAAACTCTGCAATTAGGCATCTTACCATGCGCTCAGTGTGAAGCTCCATGTAATATTCATAACCATACATAATTATGCAATATATTCACTGAAATAAGAGGCTATATATTCACGGTGGGGCTGTCAAGAGGCAAGACATTTTTATTTGCTTTATAACACTGTTTCATCTCATACACGAGCAGCTGGCTTCGGGAGACAGAAGTGAACGCGGACGTCTGGTCCTCAGCAGTTTGACACTGTTCTCTGACTCTGGTTGTTAAAGGAAAGAGAGAAAGAGAGAGAATGAGAACTGAATGGCGATCCCCTCGCCACAGGAACTGCAGATATCAAAGTCTCTCTGTTGGACACAACAAAGGCATACCTTAGTGGTATCATGTATTGACCGCAGTCATCACATGATGCAGAAAGAAAGAAGAGGCATTAAATTAAAATGGAGCAGAGATGGGGCGCTGTCTCAGGATGGATTGTATGATAAATTATACATAATGCTCATCCCAGCATAAGCAACAGCCGCAGCATACAGTGGACACACAGTGGACAAGGTTGGCTTTCATCTCGAGACGCAGTTCAAAGCTACAGGCTACACACAGAACAAACTGGCAATCAAAGCTAATGTGTAACTGGGCAGTGGTGCACTTCACAGAGCCTGTCGTCTCGAGTGCAGCTAAGATCACACGCAGAAGCGTCTCTCACATCACAATGGCTGATTTTCAACACATGGCCTTTAGAACTTATTATTTTTCACCATGTACATATAAAATACACTATTGGGAGCTGCTGTCTTTTGAAGGCCTTTCATGACATGTATATGATGAATGAGAAGAAAAGCATACATTTTATTCTAACTTTACTGTAGTTAACAAAGGCTCTAATACTCCCTCAGCGAAGCCATCCCCAAGGATACGGCTGCTCTTGCCTGAATAAAAATTTTACAAGGGATGAATGAAGCAGAGGAAAAATAGGATAAGATGCAGTGTAGTGGACTAACACCCACAGAACACAGGCTTTACTTAAGCGTCATAAACATAATGATTCTCGAGCTCTTTGTGATGGGATTTCATACGTTTTTAATATCCACATGTTCTTATAATGCGTTACAGTAACATGGAACATGCTGTATCCCCACATGGTTGATGAGCACTGCTTTGCTCTGTATGTAGCTCCACTACATTCTATGGATTTGAAATCAAGAGGTATGTGAAGTTCAATCGCTATTTATTTGTATATTATGAACATTACAATGACAGTCATGCAGATAAGAGTGAATGTTGATGTTTCATTTTTTTCAGGAAATATTTTTGAAAATATATTTTACCAGCATGTCCATACTTACACTTCATAATAAACAAAACAAGTGTGTTTTTCTGCTCCTGTCAGAGGCTGTGCTGCAAAACAATGACCTTTCAGAATATGACACAGTTTTACTGTCGATATAATACAGATGTGATTAACATAAATAAGAGTTAAAGTCAAATAGGCGTAAAGGTCGTCACTCAGGACTAGTCTCGGGTCCGCAGGGTGATTTACAACAACTTAATTTGACTGTGTGGAGTAATTTATCTGTGACAGAGCAAGCCATGCAACTCCCTGCATGTCGCGTGCACATACAGGCGACAATATGCCATGAGTGCACACATCTCCCATCTAACCAATCAGTCAAGATGCTTTACAACTTCTGTCAGAGGCCCTAACAGTTCCCATAAATTACAAGGCCATTGTACGTGGTGCCAATAACTTTTGAAGGAGAATCTCAGCCAAACTGAACAAAGTAGTATCCCCTGTTTTTATACACAGGAGTCAAGATGGCATACTCCTTGTAAAGTACAGTGTATGAAGGAGACAGGGTGCAGTAAGTACTTTAATGGTAGATTTGCTTTTAGGAAAAGGTCAACTATTTTCACTCAACCGAAAAATTCCTTTCAAGGACGAAAACTGGCCCCAGCTATTGACATTTTGAGGCGAGACAAGTGGCAGGCTGGTTTGATGTTGTTACAGATCACTCCAATTTCCTTTCGCTACCCACTTCTCGCCTCTGTAGCTGGAGTCTCCAGTTATGCTTTGCATTTGTGTCATCTACAGATCCATAGTGACAGCGAGGGACTATGAGGCATGAATGATGCAGAGCCATTCATAAACAGCGACAACAATATAATGTGATATGGACAGAAAAATGAGTACGTCAGTTTATAGTCAGCAAGCAATGATGTGCTGTGATATATTTTGAATGCCCCCTACAGTGCCCATTGACATTCTGCAGGGAAATCACAGACAGCCGTAGAGAGCACGAGGCTGCATCTCGACCTCTAGTACCATCAATATGAGCATAATCAAAAGCAAATACATATTTGTACGTAAAAATCATGCACACGTCTTAGAGAGAAACGTTTGATGCAGACTGCTGTTCCTCCTCAATAATGTGCCTTTGTGAATGCATGTGGATGTGTATTTGTGTACTTTTATTATAGCATGGTTGACATGTGCGTGAGGCAGGGAGCCTGCTGTTAGCACAGGATGCAGTGATTTTCCTGGTGTCACACTGACAGAGTGAACCTCAGATTGAAGGGCAAACAGTGATAACCACCTGCAGGGATTCGCATCCTGTTCCATTAGTCACCTTTGGAATTTTCACTAGGGACAATAGAAGATGCTGGGGAACCACTGAATGGACCTCGCTACTAAAGCCTGTGTTTTGTAGGCAATTAGAATGAAATTGCCTGAGCAAACTGAAAGGCATATTCCCCCAACAAAGGAGAATATCAAGTTTACATCACTGCTTTGGTTTGTGTTTTAAAACACTATGTTATCTTCTCTACCCCAATAATCAAATGTGTACAGCACCTATTTTGTTTTTTTGTACAGATGTGTTCTTCTCTAGATTGATCAAATAAAGGCCAGACCATGTAATTCTACTTAGAATAAAGAAGTCGTGGAGAAAAACAAGGATTTTCATAGTAACAAGGTGCATATCCTTCTCATTCTGTCTGAGTGGTTCCAAATTACAAAGGACACGGGATATAAAAAAAAGTGGTGAATGCTCCCAGGCTCTCAGCATGGCACACCTTGATGTGCAGGTGCCTTTAATACCGGAATAAGTCATCTGCGATAGGAGAGGCAAAAAAAACCCACTCAACCAGATGGTCTCCATAAAGCATGGCGTAAAGCTCTCCCAGATGTTGAGAGGTGGTTGTGGATCTGGTGACATGCGATGTGAGGGAGGAACTGGTAATGCAGAGTGTATTAGTGGTCTCTTTATGGGTGCATTAGGTGGTGCGGAGGGGAATGCGGGGGCCGCCGCCGCCGCTGCTACCAGGCTTTATGCTTTGATGAACCTACCCTTGAAAAAGCGGGACATCCGTGACCGTATTCTGCTGAGCCTGGAAGACACCTCCCTCTCTTTAGCTTCTGGGAAAACATAAATCAGTTTCTCATATCATCATCTAGTCATATTCAATGCATATGAAGCTCTAATCAGTAAATCTGTCAGCTTGCTCCCCTTTTGGTGATATATCAGATTCGTAATACTCTCCCACATATGCAGTAAATCTCTGACAAAGCCTGTGTTTTTTAAAATTCTGAGACAGGGCTGCATGAAGTGAAGAACTTGACTTGAAAAACAGAGTGGAGTAGCAGTTCAGTTGAGGATGAGCTTCAGTGCATTCCAAAGTGTCACCTCTCCCCTTACTACTAAACAGTGGCCCAGACAGGAAGCCAGAATAAATTTCCCCCAGTTCATCGTCCCTGCTGAGGACTAGCAGAACATCTCAGTCTGATTAATGGCTGTACACTGTCTAATGAACAGTAATTGAATGGTATAATGCAGCAAGTCCTTAAAAGCCCAGAGGAATTGTCTTCCTCCGCCTGGCATGCTGGAAAAGCAAGGCGGTGACATTGTCTAGAGTTGATTATAGTTGACCTTGCGTGGGGTGAATAAGGCCTTTGAAATGGCTAACCTAAACTTCAGGGAATAGGATCACGGAAAACCAGCTGAAAGACAAATGAAATGGACTTGTATTGGAAAAGGAAAGCATGGATCAATGGGGCGCTCAATAACGATTCGATTTTTTATCACAAAATTCCTACGAAGAGGAAGACGATTGATCAAACATCCCTCGTCGTATTGGCATTTCTAACAATATTAATTAAGAAAAAATGCTTAGCTGACTGGTTGATAAATCAGCCAATATTGTTAAATCAAAACAAATGATAGTTGTAAACATGATACAACGCCGCTGAGCGCAAATCTACCCTTGTCCACATTACCTCAAAGTGTATGACATCCACAACATAGACAGAGCCCCCCCTGCATGAAATCAATCACCTTTTTAACAAAGTGCACTCTAAAGGAAAAGCCAACCTTCAGAAAGCCTAACAAAAGTCAGTCAAGTGATTATAAGAAAAGCTTTGATAAATGTGCAACAGACTCTCGCTCGCCATCCTTTGCTCTCTTCCACCGAGATAGCCTGCCTTCACTCCCAGCGGACATCTCCACTTGGCAGAGATGCTGAATCTCGTTATTCTTTATTTGGCCCGGACCACACAGGTCAATATCACACGTGCGCAGTTTGCCTCACCGGTGTACTGTCTGCAAATGTATTCACTATTTAAATTCAACCAATAAATCATTTAAAGCTTCGGCTGAAAATGTAATCATGTAATTGAATTTGGTCATCAATATCTACTATATACATGCAACTACGGGGGGACGCGGGGCATTTCACAAGCACATATGAGCAGAGGAGTGGGAGGAAATCTGTCCATACTCAGCTCAAAGTATGAGTCATAGCGGTGCAGTTATCCCTCATTATTATTCACAGCCCTCTAAATGATGAGGTTGCCGACAACGAGACAGCGACAGTCTGTTTGGCCTCAAAGGGAAAAGAGGAGAGCACGCGTGAATGATGGTTAGACTTTAAGTAAGGAGGTCTCACCTGCAGCATCATTATTTCCAGTCTGACAACAACGTTTAAAAATATGACGCGGGTCTTGTTAAAACATGGATAAAGATAACACAGAAATGCTGCAAGGAGAGATTTTGGTGAGGCTGAAAACACTGATTCCACTTCATGATGTCTACTGCAATTTTCTACATTTCAGGCTTAATTTATGTCTTTAGAACTGACACAGTTTTGACAACTGTAGTGTAAACTGTACTTAGTCCTGATGAGGACGTGTTCTGTCATGATGTTTTCAAATGGAGAGCTTGAAACAAAAACACTGTCTTCTCCTCATGTCAGTGTTCATTTGCTGACAAACCAAAAACTGCTTTACAACATAATTATTGCAAAACGTAGCTGAGTCCGTGCAGGGATCATTATTATCATTATTATTATTTTCCATTATCTAATGGTCAAATCCATAGCCAATCTGAATCAGCAACATTTGTGTATGACTAAAAGCGATAAGTAATGAATTAAGCTATTGATGAGGTCTTTAGTCCAGGTCATAACTGGCCCCCAGAAGTCAATAATTATCCTGATAAGAATATCTTTATTGCAAAAGTGCATACGGCAGCAAAATCATCAGCACACCAAAACATTCCCCTATGGTGTAATTGCCACTGCTTGAAATTATAGTTTTCATTAAAACAAAATGTTCAAGGTTATTGATTGCTTAAATAAGACTCAATATCTTCTCATTTCAATGCAGAATGAAATTGCTTGGAATAGTAATATCACCCAACTATTGTGTGCATTCATCACAGTTACACTGCTTCATATTGTCGTCCCTCGAGGATTATTAGAGCAAAATAAGTGTATTTAAATGAGTGTAATTTCTAGGAACCACAGATCCATGCAAAAACATCTGTATGCACAGCTCAGCCCTACTCCATCATCGAGAACATTCACATAACTAGAGTAAAGAACAGATGTCAAATACAACCGCATTCTATTGTGGAACTCGACAAATTACAGACACACACTATGTATTTCTTCTCTGTGATACATACAGTATCTTTGGCTTCAGCTATAAGCTTTAGAAAAACTACATGAAAAGTTGAACCTGAGGCTCAGGCGTCTTTAATCCTGAGTCTCTAGTATCAGCGCTGTGGCCTGGTGCTTTTCACTGGCTCTCCTTGCCCTGAAGAAAGGCTGCACTGGTAAATACACAGTACATTATATACAGAGAAAACCATGGCTACAGAAAAACAGGTTACACACATATTAGGTGAAAGTGTAGTTGCCGAAAGCAGGTCTATGTGTCGCTCATGCAATTATGAGCACAGTGATTACCATAATTGCTGGTTAGGCCATTTTTATGTGACCTAATCCAATAGCAAATGAAGAAATTGGATGTAATAATAAAGTAAGAATGAACTAAAAGTGAAATACTAACTGTATAAAACTTATAATAAGGGTACTTACGTCCTTCCTGGAACCTGCAGACAAAGACCTTTGCAGACACAAGCCTTCTGAATCATGCAGGGGGGCCTTGCAAGGACTCGCAGAACAGCTCCCATCTTCATACTCCTCTTCAACTATCTTGGCCTCAACCTGCAGGAAGGAAGAAAAAAAAAGATCCCCCTTGGCTTACACTGTACTGTACTGCAGTATTGATTTTACAAAATATTTATATATTAACGTAACTTCTTCCCATGAGCATTTATAATCCTTATTCCGCACAGGAAAAAAAATCATTTTCTTAAACTTACTGGGCTTGTGAGATGACAGGAATAACTGAGAAATAACTACTGTAAGGAATCACAAGTTAACAACTAAAAAAGTAAAAAGTAATAGAAGTGTATTTCTAATTCTGTTTGAAGCTGAAAAACACAGAAAGGTAAAGCTTAGCAGCAAGAGATGATGCTACTGTGGTAAAAAGGGCAGTGGTCTTTTCATAGACTTGTGGCTCAACAAATTCTCATTGTTTGATCAATCGGCGGTGTTATTTTTATAAGCAGAAAACTTACATTATCATTATCATTCGCCTTAAGGACAACAACAGCAAATAAAGAACGACTACCTTCAAAAACAGAGGTGTGTTTTTAACCCCCCTCCTTCATTTTCCAAAGTACAACACCAAAAACAATGGATAAATCTTGAAATCCCGTTTTCACAACTTCAAACTTGCACAACTAAATAGACATCGCTCGGTTTAGCACTGACTGTTGTTGGCTCTTAACTAAATGACACCACGTCACAGACGTTGACGGTGCGGCTGCATTTTGTTAAAACCAAAAAGTCGAGGCCTTGAGGGTGAACGTGTCAGAGACGGCATAGCTTAATGTACTGTGATGCAATCTTTTGCTACGCTCCAAAACACATGAAGGTGCACCGCATGAGAACTGCTGGAAGACAACTTTTCTTTCTCGCTCACTTCTGGCCATCGAGTCCGCTTCAGCGGTGTATGCATCCCCGGCTAAAGACTCCGTGCACAGTGAGAGCATCGGCAGGGTTGGCACAGACAGGTACATTGGTGAGGGACAGATGGGTACGCCAGCCAATCATTTCATTCAGTCCATTGAACGGGTCGTGTTTATTACAGTCCTACAAACACCAGCTTTTTTTCAGACTATTCATTGATAGCTATCAAGACATGAAGAGGATTTCAACAAGTAAGATATAAAGAGCTTCAGAAATAAATAACCAATCTTACCTTTAATTATTTTAGGCTAATAAGGCTACCAGGTAGTTTGCACTCAATGCACTGTAGCTGATTTAGTTAATCTATCACATGCAGATGTGTTCTCTCCTGCGACCAATTGATTAGTTGAGAGTAGGTAAGATTTCAGTCGACCTAGATTTTCTTTGTTTGACTACAACCCTGATGTAGCAGCAGACACTTTTACATCCTTCCATCTTACATCAAAGCAGATTTAAATAGCTTGTGGTATTGCGCAATCGACATTTATACTCTGCTTCTGTTTGTCTTCGAGGCATGTTGTAAAAGTTGGAATCAGTGTTTATCTTTGGGGCCGAGCTGTTCAAAGATTACATGTTTAATACATCAACAGGCTGCAGTTCTGTGGGTGGTTGGTGTTTTACCTGATCAATCGGCAGGTCCACCTTCAACTGGCGGTCCTCCTGCACCTCTGCCGCTCCTGCCGTCTCACTTCTTTTGTTTTGCGCATTGAACACACTGCCCTCTGTGAAAAGTGATTAATCACAATTACCTCATCTGTTGGCAGTCGCCTTCTCATTCTTCTGCACTCTCATCCACTCTCTCCCTCTCTCTCCCTCCATCCCTCACTGCCCTCCTGTCCTCTCCCCTTTTTCCTGTTCAACTTCAGAAGAGATCAATGTCGCCGTCCATCCATTTATTTGTTTGTTTGGAACGATGTTACAGACAAAAGCACCACAGAGGGCCACAGCTGCCACGCCACAAATATGGTCAGTCAGAGTGAACTTTCAGACCGGGGTTAGCTCTTGACAGTGACAGGTTGCTATTGATGCATGTGGGGATATGTCACAGCATTTTTCTCTCCACGAAAACAAACTCCCTTCCTTTCTGCTGCTGCTGGATCTAATACAGGGAGGAATGAGAGTAATGAAACACACTATTGAGCTTGAATCTATCTACCTCAATAGCCTTAAGTGTGTTCATTTAAATAGTAAATAACTGAGCATGCAGTTTAATCAGTGATAAGGCAAAAGAAAAATGTTGCTCAAAGAGGAAATTACACAACTGCAAACCATGTAGACTTGATTATATTTTTCAGGCAGGCATTATTTTTGGATCTCCTACTAAACACCATGTTTAGAAAAAGGGAAAATTATGAAAAAAAATCTGATGCCAAAAGCTCTGATCCTTTAACAGATGACGCTTGTGCAACCTGCTTTTATGAAGTGTTCTAAGAGGTGATTTCCTTCTGGGGAAGACTCATGACTTTTATCTAACGGACCAGCCTTTGGTAATGACTTCTGTGGGAGGAAACCAGACTATATAAGCATGGTCAGGTGCAAAAAGTGTGGCCAAGAAACTGCACTCTGGTCTGGCTACAAACGACAACATTATCCTGACACGAGCCCAACAAGAGGAAGAAAAACAATTTTTTCAATATGAAAAACATGGCAGGTTTCAAACTGTGGCAATTATCCAATCTATTCTACCACATAATGTTGTTTGCGGCACAGGATGAGTCTTTCAAGTCGAGTCAGTGTATTACTGAGCACAGATGGTAAAACAAACAGCCATGAAACATCACCTACTGAATAACTAAACAGGAGAAGTAAAGACACAGCGTCTCTTTATTATTAACAGAGTATCACTTTTAAACAGCCAACTGCTGAAATGTTCCAAACCATCAATCCAAAGCAGTGTTTTGTCACTTTTATGATCTTCTGTCAGCGATATTTGTGATTAATAACTTATTACCATTTTGATTCCCACATCAGGAGAAAATTGGAGCGATTTGTTTCCCCCCACATAGTTAGCGGGGCTTTCTGGATTAATACTCAACAAAATGGCCTGATTGAATTCATCTATGATTTAAGCCCCCTTGACGGTGTTTGAAGTCTTGTTCTGTTTAATATTCACAGAAAAGAGTTGTGTTTCTCACTGGGAGCTGTGCTGTTTGGACAGAGAACAGGTTGATCATTGAAAGGAAGCTCCAGGACAAACCGAACAGTAGATGTTCTCTTTGCTCCCAACACACACCACACTTTCATCTTGCACACTCCTACACGTGCAAACGCACCATGGACTGTATATAAAGATGGACGACATGACAGCTCCCCGAAAAGTGAAGCCAAACCATCTCAATTGCCCCCTGGTGGCTGGCTGCTGTCCAGGTCATGAACCCTGCCTCCTCCATGTTAGCAGATGGGATATGGCAAACTAAACTAAACCCATTTTTTCCAGTAAGTTTAGGATGCTTTAAAAACAGAGTGAAAGTTGGTCGAGCGTGTGCATCCTTGGGACCTGGTGCCATCTCCAGATTGCTACTATGCCAAATTAGGTCTTTGCCACAAGATGGCAGAATTCCTACCTAGTCTAGTTTGGCTAGATCACTTGATAATGGGAGGAGGTAGAGAAGTGTCATCCATCATGATATATATGTCTATGATACACACATCCTGTTCCCAAACACATGCATATACGTATAAGTTTGTCTTCAACAGCCAACAGGTTTCTACGTGTTGTCATAGTAAGAGATACTATGAGGACAGAGGGGCAGGAGAGATATTTCTATAGAATTGCTCTGCTTACCCCCTGTTGAGAAGAGAACTGTATTTCTGGACATCCGACTCTGTTGTTTGGTTCTGTCGGGCTTGGCTGTGTGTTTCTTCATCTGGCCCCTGGCTGTGTGCTCAAGGTCTGCGCTAAAGCCTGTGTGAGGAAACTACATGGACAGACAAAGTAGAGGAGAAAACAGGGCCAAAGATTAAGGTGTATTTCCTCAGATTTCTTTGTGATTCATCATTGACTTTTTCACTGAGGAAAAGAAAAAATAGACAAAACACAATGAAGCGAAACTTGTTTCTCTTCTTTTCAACGCTTTTTTTTTTACATTTTCCATTGACCTCAATTTTTCTTGAGCTGATATGCTTTGTAGCTCCCCTGTGATTCCTACTGTATTGAATTCATCTGGTTCCAATACATCCTGTGCACAACCTATCAATCACTAGGGAGCGTGGCAAACTAATCATTTATTGATGAAATGGGGCAGCCATGAATTTCTAACTGCATTTGTCTTATTTATCAAGCCAGATCAAACAATGAAAATCAAAACAAGCTTAAAGGGAAAGGCAGGGAGTCGTAGGGAATAACTTATTCTTCGGCAGTAGACGGCAGAAGGTTATTGATGGGAGGGAAAAAAAACGGGCTGGGGACTTAGTTGCATTGTGGGAGAGTGAAGGAGCAAGAGAGGAAAAGAGAGAAAGGGAGAGAGAAAGCAGTCGGGAGAGTTCAGAGTGATGTTCAGACAGCAAGGTACACATCTGAATTAATGCTTCCACAAAAGGCAATTTTCTTCTCACAGGCTCCTCATCCCCTCTGTAGGTAGCAAGGTGAGGTATGTCTCCCTCACAGAGAATGAGAGACTCAGATACAGAGAGTGGGAGAGAGCAGACTTAATGTTTCTTTTCAGCTACAATGCTCTTTACTGCAGCTGCCTGGCTGGATCCCTGGGCTGGCTCGGGGGATAGTGTAGTGATCTCAGGCTTCCACCAGAATACACTTCTGGCAATGGTGTTTGCAAGCTCACTAACATGGAGTCTGGGGAATAACCGCATTGTTCCTTCACTTGTTTGCTTTCTTTAATGCAGCGGCAAAGTCTGTTGATATTCTTTTGAATTTCTACAGCCGTTGGTGGGCCGAGGGAGAAAAATAAAACAACAAAAGAAGAGTGAAGTTTGCCTGGTATGTTCAGCGAAGGATGGGTTGAAATAGAGTTCACACTCGAGCGCGGTAGTGTCCACAACTACGCTAGATCAAAGTCAGAGGAGCAGTGGCACTGTCGCAGTAGTGAGCTGTTAATTCAATTTCATAACCTCGACTCGTCTGCGAGAGATGTGAGGCATCTCACGGTAAAAGGTCAAAATCAAAATGTATCCGGGCAGCCAAAAATTGAACATCTTGTTTTCCAATGTCTACAGCCTGTTGGTGAGATGTAAATAGATTTTATTTAAATCAACACAGTTAAATCGAGACCGTCTCACTCTGGGAGGAGAAAGCAGAGGACGACGGGTGCTGCAGAGCCGGGAGAGTACTGTACAACTAGCAATACAAGTGGAAACACGGCAGTGGAAAAGCTGAGGTCATCTCCCCCTCTCATTCTACATTACATATCTACAGTACCACGTCCTGTGGGAGCCGACAACTGTGTGTATCAGGAGGCCCCAGAGAGAGAGAGAGAGAAAGAGAGACAGAGAGAGAAAGCGGGTGAGTTAGTGTGAAGGGGGCTCAGGGGGACCAGGCAGCAAGTAATCTGGAGCCCCTCTCAAGTGGCAGAGAACAGGAGTCAGCAAGAGGACACTGTGATATGATAGCCAGGGGAAAACGGGGGTCCCAACCAACTGGACCGACCAGCCTCCAGCCACACTGGCTGCGGTATCAGTAGGAGCCACTCCCATGGCCCGGGTCCTCAGTGAGCAGACATGCTGGCAGCAGCAGGGGGTGGGGGGGGTGTAGTTTTCCATGGGGCATCACTTCTTCCCCAAACCAATGAGATCATCCACCGAAAAGCAGAGAAATGAGGAGCAGCGGCAAGTCACTGCTGATGTCAGAGAAGCGCAGCTATTAAAAGCTTTAATCAGACTTTCTGTGCTGTTTTCACAGGATGCTTAGTGTGAAGTACATTTGCAGCACAATTGCTCTGCTCATTACGATTACTGTAATATGAAAGTATTGCTTTGATGCACACCATTATTCTTTTTTTCCTGTCTCTTTGCATTCCCCTCTCCCCTATTAATCTTCCCTTTATGCTGCGTCTACCTCGGAACTTTCCACCTCATCATGTGTGTGAACACCTAACTCAGCATATATGCTTGCTTCCAACGGGAACACGTTATACTGGAGGGTTTCAATGGTGCACTCTGCAGAGCTGTCACTTTAGACTTCAGTGGCTGCTCCAGACCAGATGTCCCATTCAGCAGAGTAGAAATGCTCGGCTGCTGGTGCAGACAGGACAGAGCAGACGCCGTTCCCGCAAAAAACGAGGTCGCAAGAGCAAGGTTACATTTTACACTGCCTCGCTGTGCATGTTTAAAAAGATATTTTTTACAGGCGTTTCAGACCAGACTGCTGTTGTTTTGTGAGGTCAAACTGAAATTAATGACAGGCATGACCCCATAAATGTATGTGGAATCAGTAAGCTCAACAACTGACGGATCAAGACACCGTGGGCTGTATTTGTCACACGTATCTTTCCCCCCTGAAAGCTCCTTATTAACTGGTCAAATCATGTTTACAAATTCATGAGGGATCAGGCAAAGAGGAAAGGGGAGTAAAATGCAGCAGCATCATGTCTAGTGAATGACTAATAATACAATGAGCTGGTGGATGCAAAACACAGCCATAGCCCTGTCTCTGTCTCCACCTCATGGTACTGAGGGAAATGGCATGGGCTCTGGTCTTATGAGCTTTGATTCAGATTTTCTGATCTTTAGTGTTAGGACCGAACCTCAGCTCATGAAAGTTTAATAACAATGTGACTGTATCTACTGTTTTATGCCTGGATCCATAATATTACTAAAAGATATTTATATTACTTCTAAATATTATGAAAGTCAACCACATGTACAGCAGGAGACAAGGTTAGGGGATTTTTCTATCTGAAAAAAATGGCGTCTGCCACAGCATTGTCATCTTTCATGGTTAGAAAAATCAGATGTCAGACACATCTCTCACCGGGGCCCACCCCCCCATCTCTACCGCAACCTGCTGAGTGGGCATGTTCTCATCTTCAGTGTGTGATTTGGTGTTCATCTCAGGCCCGCAGCAGAGCAATCCTCACATGGATTCAAAGCATTTCACTGTCTACTTAATCACAATACAAATTGTCCCGGTTCTGGTTTGAATAAGAGATTTTTTTTTTGTTTTTTTCAGTCAGTAAAGTCCCCCTGGTGCATATGATCTGTCTATGAGGCTCACTGCACTTGATCAAGTGGGCCAGCCCGTCTCTGTAGGGATTACCCATCAAAGTGAAAAGCAACGGTAACTCAATGCCTCCTGCAGACAGTGATTGATGATAGTGCTGTTTCATAACGAATTACACCCCCACGACAAGTCTTGCACGTGGGAAATGTTAATTGAAATGCTGTGTGCGCAAAGATACACTTTTCCACTGTGATACAACCAAGTGTTACAACAATAAACTAAGGAGAAAATGTGACAAGTTAGCATGAAACAAGAAAGTGAACTGCACCCGAATCTCTACTCACCACATCCTTTGCAGGTCTTGTCTTTCTAATAGGAGGGAGGACGTCTTGACTGCAGAGATATTATTTATATCAATACAGGAATCTAATGCTTATTCGATTTGCTGAAATGAAAACTTAATTTTCCTGATAGGTCTCATACCTTTTCATTGAGTTGTTTTCCCTGATATAAACCCTGGGGACGCACCGGTCATATGGGAGAGCTTTAAACCTTTCTGCACCAACTGCAACGTAGTGCTGGTTGTTCTCCAGTTGAGTGGAAGCGCAGACAGGCTGTCCATCTAATGTGCAAAGCCTGTGAATGCAAATAAAGAAATTGCACAACCTTGAGTAAAATCTTCTAAATATCAGTGTTTTAGATTGTTAGATGTCCCAAATATTGTCTTAGTGGTGAAATGTAATGACAGCATACTTTAAAATGTCCATTAAAGCAATGTTCACCTATCAAGCAGTTTTAGATGAATTACAGTGAGCACATCACAACCCTCACGATCACTTAATTAGAAAATTCTTTCCACTCTGCTAATGCATTTAAAGTGACAGGACAGGCTCCACTAATCATTCCTTCATCCGTATTAGAGAAGCTGAGTCTATAGAGCCATGATATGATGATGATGACAGTGCATCACTTTCAATAATCTGCAGTTATTTGAAAAAAACATAATGAAGAGAATGATTTCTTTTTTGGCAAATATTTTGAAATAATCTAAAATATGGATTCTTTAGAGTCCAGATGTATATGTCTAATGCAGAGGAAATACAGATTATGTGTTTGCTTGCCACTCACTGTTAAATGAAATTAGACATTACCTGTACACAGCCCCAGTGCGAAGATTCACTTTCTCTGTCACCATGGCTAAAACATTCTCCCAACTTCTGAGAGTGTACTTTGGGATCCGTATTCGAGCTGGAGGCGCCAAGACGTTTCCGTTTGTAAAGACACTAAGAAGCACAGCAATATATGAGACACACAGTGAATTAAAACACATTCCACAACACAAACAACTTTATATCCATCTTAAAATCAATACTCACTTAATTGTGCAAGACTCATCGGTAGTTCTCTTCCAGCGAGCAGAAACTACTATTCTGCTGTGAACAACAGGTTGGATCTAAAAAAAAAGGAATAAGAAAATTAGGGAATATACGCGTATTTCGCCTTTCACTGGGACAGTGACCGCCATGATAGGAGCATTAGGGCCTGTAACCCCCAAACTGGGAGAGTGGCTCCAGCAGATTCCAGGTACATGTATATTTTCCTCATTTTCATGTCAAACACTTATGTAAAGTTGCAGCAGTCTATCAAGATTTTATTTCAATTAAAAACCTATGGACATACAAGCCAAATAAATCTGCTTTCACAAAATGTCCCTTCCCTCTTATTGTAATACCTGTACTTCTGCTGCCTTGCAATATGTTTTTTTATTATTTTGTTGGACTTTTAACTGTTTGCGTGTGCACACAGGTCCCAGGAAATGCAATTTCGTTCCAATGTTTGTTTTACAGATACGGCTGCAATGACATAAATAAGCTTGAAACTTTGTGGGCACGTAAATGACAAACACTCGAAGCTGCAGAGATCATAGATGGATGGATCTTCATTTCTTCAGACTCAAGGGGTAAAGTCTTATTGTACTTGATTCAGAAATAAGTGCAAAACATTTCACACATCTGATGAAGATCTATTGTGTCATAGCTCCTCACTGTTCTTCCACAATGCATACAGCACTTTATCGATATAGATTGAGCATTTGTCAAATTGCTACTGATGAATATTATATTGCTAGAATCGCTGATATACTGTTTGAATCCCCGCCCTAACTCATATATGGATAAGGAATTGCTTGTGTCACTTTAAATGTTCAACTCCAACTGATCTTTTATGTAACATCAGCACTGTGGTGTTTGGTCTCAATGTATCACATAACCATCCAGCACTTTGAGATATAGGTTGAAGTTAGTTTAGTTCATTTCAGTGGAAAGAAAATCGAAAGGTGGTTTTACCTGTTCTCTTTTCTTATTCTCTGGCCTCTTGCTTGTAATCTCACTGTAGCTGGAAGTAAAGAGAATGAATGGAGACATGTTTTGATGACGATGAACTTCTAAGACTTGAGCTCACTTGCTAAACGAAGACACGTGTCCAGGGCCCAGATTGGAGCCCCACGCACACGCACACACCTCACATTAGCCTGGTACCTACTCCAGCATTTTAAACTGCTCGTTCCCGGCGGCGACGTACACACTCCCGTGCTTCAGCTCCTCCAGACGCCGAACTTTGTGGCCCAGCACCGGCGTGTAGAGCCTCCTGACGGCGCCGAACGGAGCCTCCACCCCGCGGGTCAGGGAGGTCAGGAAGCCGTCAAAGGTCGACACCTGTCGCGGGTTCACCGCTATTTTCCTTCCGGGGAAGAAGGCGTCCCCGTTCCGGTAGACTCGTATTGTTCTGGTTGGAGGTGCATCACTTCTTCTGACCGGTGTGTCCTTCATACTGAGCTGACAGAAGATGTCCACAACAACAACAACAACAACAACAACAACAAACAGTGATGGCCCTGCCCGCTGTCAACAGTCTATATGTCGTGTGTGTGTGCGTGTCCGGAGACGTAACAGGAGACAGCAGGTGACATGGAAACCAGCTCCTCCACACGAGAGGAGCAGCATCAGGAAACCCAACCTAACTGTGAGCTAGTCTGTTAGCATCGTCTCTTTGTTTGATGCTAACTTCAATTTGGTGCTTGATTCCATAACGTAAGCGTTTCCAAGGCAACGAGCCAGCAGGAAATTGCGGGTTCATTCATTCATTCATTTATCAGTGACGTTAACTACAGCAGATTCACACACACATCATATCTATTCCATTTTACAAGGGTCAAGTTGTGTATTGAATTACTTATTTTAAAATAGTAATGATAATAATACACTTTATTTATAGCACTTTTTAAAAACAGAGTTTACAAAGTTCATTGGATGAAACGTGACAAGTTACAGACGTGAAAACTTGAACACATAACAGCAGTAATATGACAATAAAAATACATTACCAAGTACAATTAAAGGTGAAAAGAGAATTATAAAAAACAGGACATCACATGAAAGCAAGTCTATAAGAATGGGTTTTAATTTAAAGGTAGTGAATGACTCTGCGAGCCTTAGCTCCTCAGGTGGGCTTATCCAAAGCTGAGGGACCCTGATGAAATATGCATGGTCACCTTTAGTTTTCATCCTGGACTTTGGAACCGCCATCTGCGATGTAGCTTGGGAGATGTAAGGATCGGGGTGATGTGATGTTGCCTTTTAGATGAACTGTCTAATATCCTCGCTTTCTTTGCTACAGGCTGGTTATTTGGGGACTTGGTCAGTGGCCCACATCTTTTTAGCTTGGACTTTCATTAAATGAACCACATTCATCATTCAGAGATGATGTGCATGTATCCTACAACATAGCGCATAAACATTTCTACCGGCTTATTTTAATCTTATTGGAATTTACTATTTATTTCAATTGTGTGCAGGAAACGTTGTGCTGTTTATGCGGAGGCTGTCTATGTGGATGTTTCAAGCTGTTGATACACACATGCAAATTCACTCTTCTTGCATCTGAGCAGGGATAAAGTAAGCCTTCTTTATCCTCAGCACAAACATTACCCAACTGCCTTCTACCAGATCTATCAAAATAAATGGGATACGATGTGAAACACTGCAGCGAGAGACAAAGGAGCATTTTATTTTTTTGGTTTAGTTTTACGAGTTGATTTGTCTCACTTGACAGTGAACAGGTCCCTGAAAAAAACAAAGTAAAGTCATCCAAAACAATGATTTTTAATATTTCTGTTTCTACCAAATGTTTATATTTTAAGTACCTGTCACCCCTTTGCCACTCATCACTATTTTCATTCAACAAAAACTAGCATGACTTTACAAATGATCCTTTCATTTTACTTTACAGTTTAATATTTGTCATTAAGTTCGAGCACAAGCTAAAATACCACTGCTACAGAACAATTTTGATAATTCCACAGTGGCTATAGAAGTCTGGGGGTCCAGACATAACATCAAATCCAGGTTGTGATTTTCCTCATTTTCCTGCTCTGTCTCCATATCTCCCACTCCCAGGCCGCTTCTCTCACCACAGATTATCTGCCAGTCCACTGTTAGACAGCGCTGTCCAAATTGTTTACCACAAAGGTAACCAGAGATTGCACCAACAATGGCACCTAATTGGTTTAGGCCAGACAACTCCTGGTCAATTAAATGCATAATTCATCTCTGCATTAATTATTCATTTCTTCAGGGACCAGTTCTGGGTTTTATGAGGAGAACTGCACCGTGCATATTCAAATTCCTCGTCTTAGAGGGACGCAATATTATCTCAGCTGGGGATTCCCATCCCAAAAAACAATAGCAGCCAGGGTTGTAAGACAACTTCTATTAATCACACAAATGAACCATAGAGGATTTTCAATGAAGAAAATGTACTACTAACCTGCGGTGTGTAATGTCTTGTTTTTGTCACATAGCAAACATTGCACCGTCTAACAATTACCAAGTGTAATTAATTCATTATTATTGTCAACCCTCTTGTGTTAAGATGAGACATTATTTTTTTAATAACAGTCATGTCTGAGCAGAACTGTCTGTTCTAATTTACCTTCCAATAAAAATCAACACATCTCAGTGTCTGTTTCTCTGTTTCTCTGTTTCTTGGGAATTCACTGCCTTAGATTAATTTAACAATTCCTTAAAAGCAACTTTAATATAAAAAAAGTGACGAACAATTACATTTAGATAAAAACATCACAGTTAAATCTCTTAGTTTTGTGTTTGTTCTTCCTCCAGTGCAACTGAAGTGCAGCGTGTGGTCACCCAAAGAGATGATTTCTGTGTCTTGTTGCATGGAGGTTCAGGGAGTAGCGGTGGGAGAGCTTACTTTAATACTCCTAAAGCTCAGTGTCACACATTTTAATATCTGTAATCACTGCTTCTCCAGGGTCATCCAGTCAACACTTGTGATCTCTTTAAAGATAGAAAGTGGACTGTGGACGTTATAGGATGTGAGGTCACACTGCTGCCTTGATAATAAATTAGACCTTTTTTTTATTGAAGTTGCATGTTGCAGCTGAGCACCCCTCACCTCACCCTCCCCTTCAAAACCAGTGGCAGCCTTCAGTTGTCATAAAACCAAATGTGAGAAGTCTCATGGAGCAGCCAATGCCACAAAGCATACATCCCTCTGTCAGAGTTTCAGTACAGCACAGTTATTATCTCAGGGGCAGAAAATAATGCACAGACACGTCTCTCGTAAAAATGATTAGCGAATGTTTATTGTACAACAACTACCATCGAACTTATTATATAAATGTGAACATTAAATGTGTTTTCAATTTCTCTTAATAAAAGCAGAGATTTCGAATTTTCTGCAATTTTCTACAGCACTCTGCATTTGCTCATTTGCCTGGTTTGTTGATGGCACCGCAGCTAATATTGTTTAGTGTATAGTTTGCATAACATAAAAACTATTAAGCTCAGTTTATTACCCTGCATGCAGTTGGGAATAGAAAGGAATCACAGTGTATGAGATTATGGGTGTGTTAAAAAGTAAAAAAACAAAAAACTCATGTTATGTGAGTGAATAAAATAAATAGCTAATAAGACTAAAAAAGAAGAATATAAAAATACAAGTTTTCACAACTTGCAGGTCATTTTGTCATATTTACACATAGATACATCATACAGATATATATACTTAAAGTTTGCTTCATTATATTTATCAAATCTTTCAGCAGCTCTGCCCTCAAACGCTGTCCTTGTCAAATTCACAGACAAAACACATGGTGGGGTGGCACGCCACATCAGTCCACTCTCCAGAGGCCACCATCTCAGCACAGTCTTCATCGTCGTAGGCGTTGTTGGGCTCTCCTTTCCTCCATTTGGTGAAAGTGGTCATGGGAGAGCGATCCACGTAGGTGAAAACGCCCTCTTGGTCCAGGTCGTGGATGCCAATGTACACCCTGCTCAGGCCCACCTCGGTGATGTACCCGGCCACGGCCGCGTTGGCTCCCGCATCCTTGGGCATGGCCAGGTGCCCCCCCCTCGTCTGACAGTAGACCTCAGCGTCGGAGTAGCGTTTCGCCTCCTTCACCAACAGATAGACTTTACTGTCTGTCTCTTTTATGCCAGCAACAGCTGCAGGGGAGGGCAGTGCTGAAAAATGAGCACTTGTATTTCTATAAATTTCACATTGACATGCCCAGCATTTGCAGTTTTCTTTGAGGGTAACAAGTGAAGCAAAGGAATGAAGTCAGATAAGAAGAGTTACAAATGTTTGCAAAACGCACAATTACTTGGGCTAAGATCTCACCATTTTTAATGAATTTTAGTTCAGACGATAGCTGAGCCACGAGAATGTCCATTTCTCCGATCATGTTCCTCATTGGTGTGCACTCACACGGAACACCTGATAAGAATGAGACGTAAGGATTTACCACATCATTATTGTAACTCGTTCTCAAATTTCAACACATCTGATCTGTTTAATCCAGCTACAGTCTGTTTGACAAACTGAATAAGATAATATCTCACCTGGATCTCCATTAGGGCCCCTTGGACCTGGATCCCCCATGTCTCCTTTTACCCCTGAGAAATTAAATGTCATTATTTATTAAACATGAAATACGTTATACTTTATATTCTGTATTGACATTCCAATTGTATTATTCCTTATGTTTGCTGACTACAGTGTACATAGATATAGTATACATACATTTATATAACTACTTTATTCTGTTTTGTACTTTTACTTGCTCTCTTGTCAACTTTGTTTTGAGTGTCTGCTGCTGTAACAAATGAATTGTCCTGGCATGGGCTCAATAATGTTTTTCTACACCCAATACTACAATACTTGTATATTTAATTCCAACAGCGACATCTGCAGTACATTTATACACTTTGTAATGACCTTTCATTCCACTGGGGCCCACTTTTCCATAACGTCCCATAACTCCTTTCTGTCCATTAAGCCCAGGTTTGCCTGAAAAAAAGTTTGAGAGACAGGAACATAATAACTGAAATTCTTAACCCACTATTTACTTCCCCTAAGTTACGTAAATGAAAAGGATGAGTCTGTGGAATCTCTTTTAAAAGTAAGCACCCCCCAGTCCTCATTAAGGTCTTCAGTAAACACTTGGATTCTGCAAATCGCTTCCCCACCAACCTCTCACCCAAACGTAAACACTCGACCATCTCCGGGTGGCCTGTTAGTGTATCAGCACATTATCAGGCCTGAGCAATGTGATCTTTAACCTAGTTTTTTTTTGTGTGTTGAAAAGGAGGAGATGTATAAGCCTGGATTCATAGTAAATGTTTTCCCCAATCCTGAGAAAGAAAATATTCTGTTGTCATCTTCCCCTTTTTGAAAGAGCAGAGAATATACCAATCTCTCCAGGGGGGCCGACTCTCCCCGGTCTGCCCGGTGCTCCTTTTATTCCTTTCTCTCCTGGTTCTCCTTTTGCCGGAAAATACAGATACAAATAATCAGAAAAATATAAAGAGAAGTACTTTGTATATGTTCTCTTTGTATTGTGTATATATAAGGAACCTTTGAGTCCAGGGACGAGGATCTGAACAGTGCAGGGCTCCTCTGTAAAGTGCTGCTGTCCATGAGTTGTCTGTATCGGTAAGAAACTCATCATGACAGTCATTAGTATCATATGTAGAAACAGCTTCTCTCCTCTCATTCTGCTTCATTTATTGGTCAATAGGCTAGACTGGAGAAATTAAGAAAATACAAATTAGAATGAAGAATTGTTAAGAATTATTCATAAAATAACCGGTTTGACTTCAGATATCACCTAGAAAATGCAGAATTTAGAACTGATATAGTGGAATCATTAGTTTGAGTCACAAAACTGAAATTAAGCCCAAAATATTATTAAATAAACCTATTGTCCATTGGATTCAGAATTCATTTCACAATTACCCCCCAGAAATACATAAACATCTACCACATATTTGGAGCCACAGATGTTTAATAATGAGGAAGATACATCAAATCATACTTGTCATACTAGATGAATTCATGCTTGATATAAACATCTGTTCATGAGGCTCATGAAAGCCACATCCAGATTCACATATACCCCGACCAGAGACCTGTTCAGCTTCATTTTGATAATATTGGCAACAGCAGTAACTAGACAGAATAATAAGTCATTAGAAAGGACTAAACAGTAAACTGAATTTGAAAACATGGACATCCTACCTGTAGAGGCACTTCCCAGACCGAAGGAAAAATGTATTGTCAGCGTACACAGACTTGCAGGAGAACAGTGGTGGACACACAGAAACATTTCATGTTCTTCCGCAGGCACCACAGAATGTGTGGGGTAAACAGTTCACAGATAAAGTCCAAAGCAGCTGGGGCTCCACAGATAATTGGCTGGGAAAACAGTCGAGTGATTGATGGTGGAGGGGTCTGATAAATACACTGACTGAACTACACTCTATCAGATCTTTAGACAGGAAAAGGAAAATTGTGAGATATTTCAAACATTTGAAGAAAACTATTTTCATAGGCCTGTATATCATTTATTGCTGTATATATTTTAATAAAAACCATGGCTTACAAACCTTAAATTCACTTTACAATGTCTTTACTTGTGTTCCAGTTAGTGTGGGTTGCCTGAACTTGTGTCCATCTCTTCATGAAACTAATTTCATTGCGGCCGGTGTGGCAGTGGCTGCTGCAGTATACTGCAGTTCTAATGATGTGTAGGGTCTGTGTCATTAAAAAAAAGTGCCACACTGCATATCTGTCATCTTATATGATTTAATTTTAATTAAAAATTAATGTAGCCTAAATAGATGCACATAAATAAACAAGATGATAAACAGAAATCCATACTTTAAAGTGAAGATTTTTGCTTGGCAAAGCTTTGCAATGGAATATGAGAAGCCTACTACCCAGGCCCACAAAACTCTCACTGAGGATTTATTTATTCAGTTCTTACTCAAATAAGTTACTTGACAACTTAAGTTGTATTGTGGGGTTTGTGTTAAGGGCTTCACACTATATATTCATGTACTTTTAATTTATTGTATTTCTCTTTACAATTTCTGTTGTTTGTCTTTGTACCTGTAAGAGTTGAGTCGTCATTGTCTAAGACAATACTACAATGTCGAAAACAGTTAGAAATTATGATTTTATATGATTTACTGTGGGGGGTTTTTGTAGGGGATCTTCCGCCAATGTTATATTCCCAGAGTGCACTGGTTCCTATGATGATCTACTCTCCAGTGCATCCCGTCCCTACTCCATTATGTTTTCTGTCTCTTCCTGGAGGAGAGTTTGGGATCAGGCTTTAGATCTGCTTTTCTGCTTCTCCCCAGACTCACCACATGATGGAGCCATTCTCCATGCAAGCACCATTTGAAATAAACAAACGCTCTGTATCAGTTCTTTTTCTTATTCTATTTTATTTGCAATCCTGTTCCACAGAACCACATTGTGCCACATGTGATGAGATGATAATAACAAAAATAGGTTTGCATCCTTGAAAAAGATTTCAGAGTAAATAAATTATTAAGAATTTACGAAATTCTGATTCCTGAAAATGAAGTTACGAAAGTCATTGTTATGCGAAAAATTAAACATGTCATTGTCTAATATGGTGAAGTGGAAACATGGAAATATCTTTGGCTTTTCAACTTTGGAAGAAAAATGTCAGGTTCATTTTTACATGCTGTCATCTAGTGTGTGTGTAATCAGATAGGGTCAGATGCAGGAGTATCACATGTCCTAATTAGATTTACAAACCCTGAGGCTGCTTTCAGTCGTGGATCGTGTGTCTCCTTCAAAAAATCCCCCCCCAAAAGTTTTTGGTTACCTGCTTTTCAAATATTCATGAGTCAAGGCAACATTTGCTGTCTTTTCATTGCAGCCAGTGATGTAGTCTAGTGGGCAGTGCATTTTTTATTTATTTATTTGTGTTGTATCCTGCCTGGGTGCAAGTACAAATGCACCAACCACTTGTTGCTTTGAATATCTTTTCTTTCTAAGTCGTATCAAATTGTTAACTCAATCCATGTTTCCAAAATTAGACCAATGCTTACAATGGTTCAACATGTCATATGTCATAATCTATCAAGATCAGACTTGGAAGCACTTGACCTGTTTTTAAATGTTACCTGTTTTAAATGATTGCTTATAACATGTATTTTAATTGGAAAACCTTGGTTTGGATAGATTTTGTTTGTTTTTAATATTTTCTATGTGATATTTCTTACTGTTGCTTTGTTTAGTTCTGTGTTTGTTATGTATTTTGTATATCATTCACTTTGTAACCTGTTTAGATCGGTGCTATAGAGATAAACCAGTGCTATTATTGTTATTATTGTTGTTGTTGTTGTTGTTGTTGTTGTTGTTGTTGTTATCGTTATTATTACCTCGTTGTTATGTTAAGATAAGATACAATCATTCTGTATTAGTCCCACAATGGGGAAATTTACAATATTACAACAGCAGGAGTCAAAAATAGGCATCAGTAAGTTATAATAAGTAATAGAACAGAATAAACATTGCACATTGTTGCTGCATGGGGGGTGGGGGTGGAGAGAGTGTTGCATTTTGAAATATTTCTGGTATTTTTTAACCAGTTTACCAGTTTTGATTTTAAGTCTGATATTGTTCCTACTTTTTGAATCTACCTGAAACGGGAACTTTACGAGCCGCACCTCAACGCACCTTCCAGTCCAGGGTGACGTCACCTGGCTTCGCTCACCGCGGTTCCAGCGCAGCGTGACGTCCAGACACTGCTGCTCCATCCTGTCCCGGGCTGTCCCGTTCCGTGCCGTGCTGTCCTGCGCTGTCCCGCTGCAGGAGGAGAGACGCACCGAGAGGAAGTTGGACTCTACGGAAAAACAACAGCGAACAAATCCGCATGAGGGACTTTAAACTTCTTGATCTGCACCGAGTGAAGGACACGAGTCGTAAGTGTCAACGCTTCTGTCCCAACTTTTGTAGTGAATAGCAAAGAGTCAGCTCCAGGTACTTTGTGTTATTAGCACAGTAACATGGATGGACGGGGGGGTGCAGCTGCTGCACTCCTCTACTTCTAGTCCTTGTCTTTGTTGATTGCACTGGTGGAGTGTTTATTTCCTGTCTGACTCTCACAGTGCTTATTATGGCTTATTTCTAAGGGGCTTAGCACCGTCAGTCTGGAGTTAGTCTGTATAAATGCACTTTGATCATGAGGTTATCTTCTAATGAGTCTTAAAGCCACAGGAAGAGCCTCAGCTCAGCTCGTGGCATTACAAAATTATTACTAAAGTAGCCTCCATAATAATAATACAAATAAAGTATGATAATAATAATGTATTTAGCACTTCTCAAAACACAGCAACAAGGTGGCTTACTAGTTAAACATGAAAAATGAAAGACAAACAGTAATAAAGTGTTATAAAACCATTTGTAAACCATAACAAACTACACAGATAGACCTCACAGATTTAAAGATACTAATGGTCGAGCTGGATGATATGGTTAAAGATTATATCAAGATTTTAAAATAGTCAGTTTGTAAATATTGATGAACTTTCACATGATCAGTGTTTGCTCCTGAGTGAAGGTTGTGGCTCTAAAGTCTTTCTGAGCAGAGAATGACAAACATTTGATAAACAGCGAAACGTTTTTACAGATCTCAGGTAGATCATGTGCTATAAACATTATATTGATTTATGTGTGCATAAACATTATATTGATATGTATCTGGCTTTTATTATATGTGTATTGATGAAATGTATATTGTGATCATTCTTGATATTGTTTCATCGCCCAGGCTCTATAGTTTCAGATGTTTAATGTTTTGCCATTTGGTTCATTTCATATGTTTAATTATTTACTTTATTCAAATTCTTGTGTCTTCTCTCTGGCCTACTCATCCCTTTTAGATCAAAAATCCATCTTGTGCCACCTTGTTTTTTAAAGGTGCACCTCCGAAAGTGTGACCTGTCTTATGTCTCTCTTCCTCCTGTTGATCTCCACATCCAGTGCTTTTCCCCCCATGTCCCCTTTGCCTGCAGAGAACAGGAAACAAGAGGCAGGAAGCGAGAGGCGTGTTTGTGTGCGGCCTGCTTTGACTCAGAGCTCCACTGTACTTTTGTGTGTGTTTATGTTTCCTACCTCCTCTGCACTGTGGTTCTCTTTGGGTTTCCCGAGACATGTGACGCCCTTTAATATGCTGATAGCTCACTTTTTTATACATGAGGGCTTAGATCCCACATGTTGCGTCTCACCTCTCTGTCTGGATTGGGGTCAAACACTAAGAGGATTTAAGGCTGCAGAGTCAGTTACTCATGCGGGATTGGTCTCAGTTGTGTTGAGAGCGGTGAGCGATGCCTTCCCAGACTTTTGGGACTGAAGGACATCACCCTGTCTAAGTGAAATACCAGATTGTTTTGGAGGTTTGCTGCGAAAGGAGCAAGTGGATCTCTAAGGTTTTGGTTCAGGGAGCAGAGCTGAATATGATGAAGATGGATGTGTTGTGCGCAGAGCCACGTTTGCAGCAGACTGTAGACAGCAGGCTCCTGGTGTATATTCAACAAGATAACGATTACTCCTGATCTTATAGCAAGATGGGTGCTGTCATGTAGGCTTGTGTTGCTCATGCAGATTTGAGCTGTGCTGAGATGTTGTAAACTTAAAGTTGTAAACTGTGAGAAAACATTGTGGTTATCAGCGATCCAACAAAGACTTGTTTGAAGGTTGAAGATAACAGATAACTGATCCTGTCCTCACTCTTTCCTGCTTTCATGTATGTTTAGATGTGGTTTAAATAAAAGCACACGCTGTGTAGGCTCATCATTAACAGTGACAGTGAAATGAGTATCACTACAAATTTGCACATGATAACCCTCGTGACAGAAAACTAAGTTACAGCACTGATCAGATTTGCGTATTTATCCCTATTGAGAAGAAGCTTCTAGTACAGACATTAGAAGCAACACATTGAATTTACATCTATTCATGCATTTTGCTTCTCTCAGTTTGATTTTCTTTTAGCTCTCGCTCTATGATATAAGATTCTGACTGGCTGTTGGCCTTAGAGAAAAGGCACCAAGTGTGAACCTAAGATTATTGCTCTAATCATAGACGAGCCATAGAGCAATAAACTGAGATAACAACAGATTATTTGTCTCAAGTTACGTTCACTTTTTATGGAAGCAGTTTTAACAACTGGCCTTTGTTTTAATTTTATTATTATTCCACTGAAGATCCTTCCTTAAACTTATTAGAATTATTAAGGATATATGGTGGATCACTGTGGTTCAGGATATAGAGCGTGTTGTCCACGAACAAGAAGGTTGGTGGTTCCATGCTGGCTGCTCTGTTCTGCGTGTCGAAGTGTCCTTGGGCACTGAACCCCAAATTTGCCCCTGATGGCTATGCAGACAGGGTTTGATAGAGAAAGTGCTGCACAGAGATGCACTGTGTGAATGGGTGAATGGCAAAACTGTGCTGGAAATATATGGAAGGTATCATTTATTGTATTTAAGTATTTGAGATGGTTCCTCAAATCACTCTGTTTTCTTCTGTCCAGCATCAGATGGAGTTTGATCTAGATAATACAACATTCTTACAAAGTCCTTCTAGTTAAAGGCCTGATGGGAAATATCAGTTGTGTAGTGACAAAAGTCCAAAGTGGGTATTTGTCGGTTTATCGACCAGAAGAGACACAAGCTTTATAACAAAGCAGTAAAAGTCTGATGTTCCAATAAAGGTCCAGTGTGTACGATTTAAGTGAAAGGAATCTATTTGCAGAAATTGAATATCAAATAGTCCTAATGATGTTTTTGCTTGTGTGTTTGTCAGAATTGTTGTTTTCTTTACCCTTGAATGGGCCTTTTACATTTAAATACTTTATATTTCCACTGGGAGCGGGTCTACGGAGGCTGCCATGTTTTTTACAGCAGGCCAAACACCTTTTGAGTTTTTATGACAGCTGAAGGTTAATTCAGGTTATCTCTCATGTTTGGAACGGAAGGCTGAGGTGAAGGTATTCAGCTGCAACTTCGCCACTAGATGTCACTAAATTCTAAACACTGTACCTTTAAATGGTGATGGTCAGTACAGGTTACCTTACAGTGTTGGCTCCAGCATTGAGCTGATGTGATGCACTTGTTGAACTGTGAGCACATGGATGCATCAGCAGTGTCTCAGCTCCATCTCTTCTCTGACATTTGACTTCAATCCCTGATCCTAATTGGATGTGCGAGCATAACCTCATCACTTTTGCTATGAACAACCGTGTGTTTGTCGGATTAACTGTCAAGATCCGTTAATGACACACACATGAAACCACGGCTTTCGCAATTGACTGATTGGTAACACAAGAGTCCAAATGGGATTGTTTGGGGCGTTTCATGTAAGGTCACTTAGGGTAGAGTTGTCCTTACTCAGGATTGCGAACAAACTCCAGTCCTGTTCCAATGGGAAATCCCTTCTTATAAGATTAGCAGGAGGGATATCAGGTTAATGGAAAGCAGAACTCAATCACATCAACGGAGAAAACCAGATCAATTAGATCATGAATTTTTTAACATGCTAGTTTTTTTGTTGGATAACCCGGAAGGTTCTGTAAGTCATACAGAGCTACTTTGATTTTAGTCTCCATGTCAGTTTAGAGATAATGTTTATGGCAAATTGTCATTGCTTTAAAAAGCTTTAATGTAACACTTTTTGGCGTTTAGCAAAGACTGAGAAGGGAAACTTGCCGCCATGCAAATAAGGTCAACAATGTTGACAAAAACAGACACTGACAAGGTACCTTTACATGAGATAATAAGCAATAGTGACAACAATTTCTTTAACACATTCATTGTGTTGTCATACAGGTTTTAGGGAACAGGATGTAGGTGCTGCACTAAGGGTACAAATGCAAAACTGTCTACTGTGCTTTGCATGTTTATTTTAAGCCACATATTCATATACCCTCTCTTCCACCTCCGCTGTCTTCCTCCTTCTCTTAGTTGTGTAGCCGTGCTGACTAGGTGAGCCATGGAGGATGGGAAGCCGGTATGGGCGCCCCACCCCACCGACGGGTTCCAGCTGGGCATGATCGTTGACATAGGAGCCGACACGCTCACCATAGAGCCACTGAACCAGAGGGGCAAGGTGGGTAATGGCACATGAACACACCCCTGCTTTTCATTTACAGGCAACGTCAGGTGGAGAAATGGGGCTGAGGTAACAGTAGTGTTGGTGCTTGTTTTTCTTTCGCCTGTCTCTGCAAGTCAATGTGTGAGAGTTGCACCTTCACTGGTTGTTGTTCACCTCAGTCCCAGGAGGGTCATCGCCACATACGCACATGCATTTATTCATAAATTTACGCGGAAAGGTTTCGTGAAATAATCCCATGAAAACGTAATTATAGATTTCCAGTAACAGATGTCTGTCTTGAGTGTGATTTCAGGTAAAAAGGCGTCAGCAGCAATGTGTAAAATGTGAGAAACATGAGAGACCGCATGTACGGCGGCATGAATAAATAAAGCGAGCGGCAGCAGGTGTGCCGATAGTGTTGCCTGCAGGGAGAGCTGCTCATTAGGAGGTAAAGGCCACCTGTTACACCTGAGCCGTCATGTGTCCCCTGCAAGCGCTGGGCCTCGGATGTTTACAGCCTGCAACTTCTCCTGCACTGTAGAAGTTCCTCTTTGCGTTTGTTACGTTCTCGCCACAGCTCGTGGTACAGACCTTTCTGGCAGCAAACATTTTGGCAGGTGTATCTAGTAACATTGTATTCAGGTGTCCCAGTATATGCACCACCACGCTGAATCTGAAGCAGCGACATCTCTGTTTTCCTCTTCCCTGGTACAACCTTTCTGTTTAGTTGTGCTAGTAAGCAGCTTTTGTTTTCTATATTAAAAAGATATGTAGGAAATCTTTCTATTTCTGCCTATTATCTTTTGAGTATGTTAGAAAGAAGTCGGCAAACCGTTGGTGTATCGTTTGGGAATTATTTTCAGACTTTTCAGGAGGTTCAATATTTTGTAGTTTTGAAAACTTCATTTTAATCCCAATAGAAACCGAGAGAATCAAAGGAGAATCGGAAACAAGCAATTATCTAACTGCATAATATTAAAGCTGCTTTCAGACATGCCCTGAACTTCTTAGAGTTTTCTCGAGGGGCTATGTGTGAGAATGCTAATGCCAGAGTTAGTTGATCCAGACATTTTCTGAAACTTTTCCAGTCTCTTTGTAAAATGTTTGGTAAATGTTTCTACACCAGGAAAATGTCTGAACATGCAACAGACGCAAAACTGAGAAGACACAAAAGAAGAAGTCAAATTGGAAAGACGATGAGAATCTAGAGCTCTTGATGATTAGGGGGTCGTGTGAAAGAATCTTTCACAAATAGCAGTTACGATCCTCAGATGAGGGCTTGACAATTGTTGCTATATTTCGTTTTACCCCATCGACGGTGATGTGTTGTGGTTTCTCTCTTGTGACAAATCACTTTGGACAAAAGCGTCTGCTAAATGCCCTAAATGTAAATGTAAATGTGTGGATGTGCTGTAAATAAACACTGTGCTTTCCGCTTCCTGCTTCCTGCTCCCTGCTTCCTGCTTCCTGCATGCTCTATCCAGACGAGAACCTTCACCTGAATGTTCTGGACATTCTCCGGTTGTTGTGAGCACGTCTGACCCGGACATTCGCCTGCTGCGTTCTTCATATGTCAAAGACAAACCCAATTTTCCCTGACATGTTCTAGAGTATATGTCTGGAAACGGCTTTACACTGTACCCTCCTCTACATCACTCACAAATATGCATATTCTCCAGGTGCACTACTTTCAGCTGGAGACGATTTGAACGAGTATGAAGTGAACCTCGCTTGTAAGAGCCTCGAATGATGATTATGAGTTTATGCCCCATTACAGGACTGTAACTCTGCTCCATTCAGCGAGGGAATGAAAGGCCCATTGAGTGTCGTTTTACTGCAGCGTTGAACTCATTAGTGGCTCGGCTCTGTGCGCGGCCCTCAGCCCGGGCTGTCTCTTCTTCTTTGTCAGTTTTATTGGTGGGACATTTCTCACATGGTTGTTATTGTGGACGGGCATGTCCAGATTGAGCCAAGGTATTGTAGCTGGCACACAAAGCAGATTCTGTTTATGTGTGCAGGCTGTTGGTGGTAATAAAGCATGCGTCTTGGCTCAGACTGGGACACACACACACACACACACACACAAGCAGGGCCATTGCTATAGGGAGTAGAATGAATATGTAAATGATAGAAAAGAGTGTTTATTATGGGGAATAATCAGACATGTCATTGTCTTGTTTAGACACAGCATCAGTACATTTCCGGAGTTTGTTTAAATGTAGGGATTTGGTCATTGTCTTTTCTGCACACACACACACACACACACACACACACACACACCCACCCACACACTAACACACTCACTTATTCGCTCAGGTGTTCAGATCCTGTTGCTCTGCCACCAAATTATTCATCGTGCTGCCATGTCGTCTCGTTGTTTCTCTCACAGCCGGCTTGTTCCATTGAATTTATTTCCATTAACTCAGACAACAGAGTGAGAATATCAGTAACTAATTTAGCCTGAGAACACGTCGTCACATCAAACATCATCACTGTGATCTTTAAGCATGATGAATGATTCATGTTTATGCTTGTTTAGCTGTTGTATCATGGTTAATAGGATGCTAATAAAATGTGTTTTTTCTCGAAAGCGTCATGAAAAATAAGTAAATAATAAATAATCATGTGTTTCAAGTTGTCAGGGATTCATGTAGCATGTATGTGTGTCTTGAAAGTGAATGTATTAGTAAGGAATTGTTTCTGTTCCAGACCTTTCTTGCTCCAATGAGCCAAGTCTTCCCGGCTGAGGACGATGTCAACAAACTTGTAGATGACAACTGTAAGTTAAAATCTCTTGTGTGTTTCTTTTTTTGCTATTTTCTTTACATCTTTCCAACTTTATCAGTTTTATTTCTGTATCTGTGCTCTGATGCTGTGTGACCTTTTAAATTGTTTCCTATAGCTTGCTTTCCATTTTTCATTTTTATCTTGTAAAGCACCTCATCACAGTTTTAAAGGGTGCTATAAATAAAGATTATTATTACAATTACTATATTATTATTAATTGTCTCTGTTCTCCCCTGTTTAGGCTCCCTCATGTACTTGAATGAAGCAACACTTCTCAACAACGTTCGAGTGCGGTACAACAAAGACCACATTTATGTACGTGCTCTTCCTCGCCTATAGGCCTACTTGTCTTACTTATAGCTACAGTATGAATCCTCTGAATATGCTCATGCAATTACTTAAAGACATTGCTATCAAATTGCATCATAAGGAGATATAGTAACAAGTTAGGCGGCAGAAGGAGAGAGAGGATCTTTATCCTTGTTTCCCCGGGGGGAGAAGTACCAGGTGGTAAAGAGGGAAGGGAACGCAGGGTCACAAAGTCAGACAGTCTAACCCCGACCCTGATCCCGGTCTGTCACTTAGGAAATGAGGGACAGCTGGTAGATGAGAAAAGAAAGATAAGGAAACAAGTTAGGGTGTGTCTCATTTTCACCTCTTGTCATTCAATAATTAATGTGCATTTCCTCACTGTTTATCAACTTTCTCTAAATGCAGAGACCCTGACTGTACATGTATTTACATCTCCCACAGACTTACGTAGCGAACATCCTGATAGCTGTGAATCCTTACTATGACATCCCCAAACTGTACGGCCCAGACACCATCAAGTCGTACCGGGGGAAGTCTCTGGGCACTCTGCCACCTCACGTTTATGCTATAGGTGAGAGCTAACACCTGCTAACAGCTGCACAGTATATATATCTGCAGGCTCAAGTAATATTACTCCACTTACATTAACAAGCTTTGGTATTATCCTGAGTTTATCTTTAGTATTAGATTTATACATTGTTTTTTATTTGTTTATGACAGAATGTTATATATTATTAGAAGTACATTATCTTATTTTTCAACTGAAGAAGTTTTTGCAAATTGTACAGTACAAAAATACATCAAGTCACATTGCTGTTGTGTGAGTGTACTTTTGGTAAAAAAGTTAGAACAGGACAAAAGACATATGAAAACTAATACAGTGAACAGTTCAATTGTTCATTTCTCAACCTCCCTGATGAGACACTATAAAAAATTGCATCATTGCATTATGATTTATCTGTTCCCTGAATAAATCCTGATTATGCTTGAAAGTAAAATAACCTGTGATATTTTTCTCTTCAGCCGACAAAGCCTACAGGGACATGAAGGTTCTCAAGATGAGTCAGTCCATCATAGTTTCTGGTGAATCTGGTGCCGGAAAGACTGAAAACACCAAGTTTGTTCTCAGGTATGAACTCACCTGAACCATGCTGCGTTCCCTCACCCTGGATCGTCTCCTTTTCGTTTGCATGTTCATGGGACGAGCAGCGGGGGTTACATATCAAAATCCTGTTCCTCATATCAAACATCCTCTTCACACCTTATCGAGACCGAACGATTACGCCCTGCAGATGTCGCAAAATGTTTATGACTTCTCAGCAGCTTTCTTACGTGATCACATGAATTCAAAAGACTTCTGTTTTGTTATTGTCAAGCAGCCATAGAGAAAGCAGCTGTAGTAATTGTGCAACTGTGTAAACTGTGGATTCAGATTTAGTGTGAGTGTTTTTTTGGCTTTTAAACTGTTTTTATTCACCTCTATTCTTTTCACCCCTATACTACAGATATCTGACCACAACGTATGGAAGCGGTCAGGATATTGACGAGAGAATTGTAGAAGGTAATAAATTATAACGATCTTAAACTCTCGTGTGTGTTGTGTTTGGAGGCTGTGTGATCCTGATGTGTATTTTTTCCCGTATCGAACTCCAGCGAATCCTCTTCTCGAGGCCTTTGGAAACGCTAAAACAGTTCGGAACAATAACAGCAGCCGGTTTGGGAAGTTTGTAGAAATCCACTTCAATGAAAAGGTAATGGATGATCACCGATCTAAGTTGATTTATGATTTTTAGAATCTGCTGTAACTACATATTTTTTTGTTCTTCCAGAATGCAGTTGTGGGAGGATTTGTGTCCCACTATTTGCTGGAGAAGTCGAGGATTTGCATGCAAAGCAACGAGGAGAGGAACTACCACATCTTCTACAGACTGTGTGCCGGAGCATCTGAGGACATCAAGAAGAAACTGCACCTGGACTCTCCAGACAGCTTCAGGGTCAGTGGACTCTTAGGGACCCGAGGGAGTTTCGATCTTATATACGAAAACGAGCATACTGGTATTTATATCCGTCCTGAATGATCACAAGTGGATCAGGTATGAATGCACCCAAAGGCATCAGTGAGGACACATTCTGAGGCGGTCTGGGACGCATGTTGCCACATTCTTTTCACTGTGAGAGCTAGAATCTGTCCTCGTCCATGTCTGATGGACGGCTGACGTCTCTGACCTGCAGTTAACAGTTAGTAACAGTGACCATGTGTTGATTTGTTGAGGCCACCATCATAATATCCACACTGATCGCCACATAATTATTGATACTTTTCTTAAATTGGTCAAATCTTTCTTCACAGAAGCTACATGACTCAGCCCCTCCTGACTCCCGTCTCTCTCACTCACTCACTCGTGCTGACACACACACAAAAACAACATAATTTGGTGTCTGTTAAAGAAATAATTTATATTTATTTGCTTAAAGAGCGGGGAAGTAGGATCTGGTTACAAGTGGTCACAGGAGACACATTTTAATATCAGGTGTGAACAGACGTGCTTAACTTTGTGCTCTTGTGATTGGGTCTCTCAGGAGGGATGTTGATACCAGGTCTGAACAGGGACTATGTGATAGAGGATAAAATTAATGCAATGAAAGTTTAATGAAACGTTGGACTATTTTTGTGAAAGCTTAAACAAACCTTACCTTATTTCATTTGTATTTTATAATCGGTATGTGTTGGCAGCTCTATAGAAGCCCATTAGACGCTTATTTTTACTTTCTTGAGAGAAAATTGAGAGCCCCCCCACACGTGAAATCAAACTCCCCTCAGTAACAAAATATTCCACAATTGAATTCTGTCCCGTTTTGAAAGCAATTATCAACTCAGCAGGGGCAGAGTCAGAGAGTGTAAAGGTGTTTATTCCACTCGGGATTTTCTTCTGCATGCATTGCAAAACAACACTTAATGGAACAACAAGCAGCTCGAGCTGTTCCCCTTTAGATGTTTATCATAGTGTCATGATATCAGATCCCTGAGGTGATGCCCACATCAACAGAGGCAATTACTTTTATGCAATTCACTACCAGTCAGCTGTGGAGCAATATTGGAAGACAGCAGAGTAAATCACTGCGATGGAGGAAATCGATACAAATATCCCCAGTATTGTGTCTGAATTAAATTCATTAAAATACTAATTATGTTGAATTGTTTTCTAAAAAGTTATTTTCTCTGTTGCAGTATCTGAACCGAGGATGCACCAGGTACTTCGCCAGCAAGGACTCAGATAAACAAATCATGCAGAGTCGCAAGAGTCCTCAGGTAATGTCACATCCTGTTCTGGTTCAATTACTAGGAACTCATTTATTCTGATTATTTTTGACACTTGTGTTGCATTTGTCTTTGTTTGGGGCAAAGTTTTTTTATAGCAAGGAGACAAAGGCAGAACATGTAACTCTGCAATGAATCATTTAGATATGCAGTAACAATCAGTAAGTATCAGACTGAAAGTAAATCCAAGACTATAGTTTTGAAAATTTGTTGCCAAGGTGAAATTATATGCAAAAAACTGGTAAATCGCAATATTTTATGCAGAGAAATTAGTTCAAGTCTGTGTATTTGATGAATTATGTACGACATGAAAAAGGGCCAGGCCCTCGACGAGTTGCGCTGCAAAGCCTGCAGGAGACGTGTAATTAATATCATGAAACAATTAGAAAAATAAGTGTGACAGGTCCCTCTCTCAGGGACTAATTATACATGTTCACTTCACTTGTTGTTTTCTAAGACAGAATAATGTCTCCATTTTATGTTAATCAAACTTCCAGGTGAAATGGTGGTAGACAAAAGAGCTGAAAGCTCTTTTTAAATGGATTTACTCATAATGAGTTTATTTAGCAGAGTACATTAAAGGGTGATGATTTAAATTTGCTTCACAACCTTTGTTCTTTGACTTTCAGACTGTAAAAACTAGAGCCTGACAGATTTATCATTCGGATGATAAAATTGGCCCATTATCTTTCACAGACATATCAACATCTGTGTTTACTTTTACTTTATTTTTATTTTAGGGATTCAACAATACCGAAAGCCTGTTCATTTATATCAGTCAGTTTATCGGTGTCGGAAATCTTTTACTCTCTAATAATCGGCATCTGCCCCCAAAACTCCATATAGGTCAGGCTCTGATGTCTTANGCAAACTCACCTGGCTTTTAAAAGGAATGAGCGATGGCAGTGATTAGTTTATTGCATGTTTCATTCAAAACACACAAATGATTTTTTTTTTTTTTGTTTTTATATATCAGTCAGTTTATCGGTGTCGGAAATCTTTTACTCTCTAATAATCGGCATCTGCCCCCAAAACTCCATATAGGTCAGGCTCTGATGTCTTACTCAAGTCGTATATGCTATTAGCTGTTTTGTACTTTAGTATGTGTTTTAATATTTCAAAAAAAACATTTTCTTTGTGAAATATTTGCACGCAAGCACAGATTTTGTTTTTGTGCTCCTGTTACATTTTTTTATTTGACCGAGACATTATTTTAAAATGCCGTTGACTCATAGGGCTTTAATTAAAGATGCCACTGATATCTTAAATATAGTCGTGGTCTTTATTCAACATGTTTACTGCAGCTTGTGTTTACAAACCTTTAACAGTGTCTAATTACTTAATCATTGGAATCCCTGCAAGCTGTGAGGTTGTAAGTACACTGTGTGTTATTAACACGTCTCTGTCCTGCCACACGCCTCTGTTTCTGTATATAGGACAACAAGGTGACGTTTTGCTTTTTTTATCAGAGCTGTGTGTCCGCTGCTCTTTCTCATGTGTTCCTCCTCAAGGTTTTTCACATGCCGCTGTTTGTAGTGCATGCTTCCTCTTCTCTGCATGTGTCTGCCAGGGCTGGGTGGGGTTAGAAAAGCACAAAGGATGCTTATTCAGCTTGTTTCAGTCAGACTGTATGATGAAGGGCTGCACAGTTATTTTCCGTAGTCACAATCAATACCTTTTTTATTCTGCAGACTTGCTGTCTCAGGTGAACTTTCAAAACAATGACAAATATGTTCCAATCAATACAGTAATTGTGAAGGTTTTCTTATAAATCACTATAAACAAGAGTCATAATTGTGCAGCTCTAATTATCTCTCTGCTATTAAGCTACAATCTGGACCCCTGATGATTCTTGAAGTGGTCTGTTCCAGTCATGTTTTCACACTGCATGTTTCTCCTCTCTGTTTTCACCACTCCTCAGATGTCATACATGTTTCAGATGGGTACTTCTTTAAAAGTTCCAATAAATGAATTGACCAGACATTCAGAGACGTGGCTCCTGTAGCAGAGCAGCCTTAGTTTTATAGGATGGTGTGTTTGTTGTGTGCTGCTGCTGGTGGAGGCTTTGACTGTGAAATATATTTTGGTTTCTTCATCTCAAACATTTGGCTTTTAGAGTTTATCATTTATTCAGTTTAGAATCACATTTACTCAATATCTGAAGTCAAACAGTTGAACCAAACTTTAAAATGTAAAATACAGATTGATATTCACAGATTGTTTGAGTAAATCCTGGTCTGAATTGAGCTCTTACACTTTTCCTGTTTTGCGACAGTTTCTAACTCTTGTGTCTCTTGCAGCATCTGAAGGTCGGCGCGCTGAAGGACCCTCTTCTTGACGACCAGGGCGACTTCAACAGGATGTGTGGGGCCATGAAGAAGATTGGCCTGGATGACACTGAGAAGCTGGACCTGTTCCGGGTGGTCGCCGGTGTTTTACATCTTGGCAACATTGACTTTGAAGAGACGGGGAGCTCCTCGGGTGAGGCAGAAAAAAAGAATTTGGGATAATCCGTGAGATTATCAATATTTTGGTTCTGGCAACATATTTCATGGGAGCCCACTGCAGGGGTATTTGAGTTTCTTGTCTAGTTTTGTTTTTTAAATCCAAAGTATTTGTCACTAAACATGAAACCAAGCTCATTTTTTTTCCAGCTACTCTCCCGCCACAAAGTAGAAAACCATCAGAGGCTCAATAAATCGGCATTTGTTGAAATGAAATGCTGCAGATAATTGTTGTTCAACCAGAGCTATGTCCGTCAACACCATCACAATTAAATCTGAAGTGGTGATGAAAATAAGACCTCTGTTACCTCGGCAACCATGATGTCTGTCTCCCTCTCCTTTCTTGTTCATTCTTTATATTTCTGTCTAGACAGGCAATGTCTCAGGATTAAATACATACACGTCGACTGCTTTTATATTGAAGTTGCACTGACTGAGTGAATTTCCCATTCACTTTCACATTAGAGCTCTGATGGTGGAAGGTGCCATTAATTATCACCTCCTTGGTGAGCTCTCAAATCTCGTTGTCTCTCCAAGTTGACGTCTTTGTCAGCGTCTACGTGTAGGGCTCCTCTTTTTTCATTCTCAGTATATTTTACCTGGAGGCTGGTGGGAAAAGTTCTGGTCAATGTCGGGAGCAACTGACTCACACATTTGTGTTCTCACATACGGCCCCTCGGAATAATCTGTCATGAGTGCATGTCTGAGAGCAGCACTAGTGTTCTTTTCTTTTCTACATCAAATTAGCTTTAAGGTGGTGACAGCTCATAATTAATCACATTTTTAGAGATTAAATAACATGTGTGTGTGATGACCTCCCTTAAAAAAATGCATTGGGGAAAAAAAGATGATATAAAAGAAAGACAATATAAGTATTTTGCACATTGTTCAGCACATTAATCTGCATGTGGGGATTTTGACTTGATATTTACTGTTTGTTTCAGGTGGTTGTGTTTTAAAAAATCAGTCCAGCCAGACTCTGGAGTACTGTGCTGATCTGCTCGGTCTGGACCAGGACGATCTGCGTGTCAGCCTCACAACAAGAGTCATGCTCACAACAGCAGGGGGCGCCAAAGGAACAGTTATCAAGTAAGAACAGTTGTATTCAGCCTTCACGATTCAGGACTCTTTTTGCAACTTCTCTTGGGTTTTAACAGAGAAAATATGTTATGTCTCTTGATTTTTGCAGAAGCCACCGCCGTAATTTCAAAACCAAAACAATGAATTGAACAGAACTGAGGGAAGGCAATGAGTTCATAGTCTGAAAACAGCTAATGCTCCTTAGTCGGAGATTAACCAACTGGAATTTAAACGGCACGGTTACTGGATAAGCAGTTGTTCGTGTGACAGTGACAAGCCTGCAAAGTCTTAAGATGTCTTTATTGAGCAAGATGATGAGATTAAATTATGACACTGAATTAATCCTGTTATTTTATGGTCTGAGTATGAGAGAGTGTGTGATGGAGCTGATCATTTTATGCAAGAAAGAGCCGCTCTTTGTGCAAGGCTGTTTTACTTGCAGGTTAAGAGGCACATGTACAGAGGGGGAATATGGCACAGCCCCAGCACTGCTGCTGTGTACTTGTGGTAGTGATGTGGTGTTTGAATGATGGGGGCCACGTTTGGTGAATTAATATTTCAGGGGGGCCAGATGCTTGCCTGGGCTGGAAGTGTTTTCTCCACATAAATAATGCAGCCCGTATCCGAGGAGGCAGGAGAGCATGGCCGCTGTACAGTAGAGGCCCTGGCGTCTGGGGAGCAGGTGGAGCTCAGTGGTCCTGGTTTTGTCATCAAGCCCCAGTCTATCCAATGAGAGGCTGAGGGTAACAGAGGGGGGCGGTGGATGTGATGGTACCAGGGATGAGTGTGTATCTAACTAGTGTATATGAAGCATTAGATCTGAGTTTTGCCACCGAGATTAATTGTAAGGATCTCGAACGGCTGCATAAAAGAGTTTGTGTATTCTCATGAGAGTCAGGATGTGGTGGAATATTCCCGTTTGTAATATATGAGGTGGGTGGAATATCAAAAGGAGGAAAGTGTGTAAAGAGCGATCATGGTAAAAAGAAAAAACAGAGCATATCATTTTAAAATTCATCCTCCTCATCCTGTGGGAGAGCTGAGTTGAACTCTGGGCCACTGCGGATCTGCACTTTGCCCGTACAATCGACCCCTGTAAATAATTTAAAATAAAAGGTGTTGAAGAGTCGTCAGAAAGCCTTGTAAGGTTCAAGGTTCATATTTTTGCTTTAATACGTTTCTCGCCAGCTCAGAAACTCTCATTTTAAAGCGGCCGACTAACTGGACTGTTAAGTTCGGAAGGGTAATGGTGCATACGCTGCAAAATGTGTCACGTTGACACACCGTAACTTTTGCTGTCACATGAAAATTGGGTTGACTTAAAAATAAATAGATAAAAGAGAGGGATTTAATAGGCGACCGGCATTGACCCCGTTTTCAGAACGTCTCTGCCCCACTTTGTGTGTCCCTGCAGGGTGCCTCTCAAGGTGGAACAAGCAAACAACGCCCGCGACGCCCTGGCCAAGGCGGTGTACAGCCGGCTCTTCGATCACGTGGTCAAACGGGTGAACCAGTGTTTCCCCTTCAAGACCTCGTCCAACTTCATCGGGGTGCTGGACATCGCTGGGTTCGGTAATGATGTGCAGTTAGTGGTCTACAAAATAGAGATTTAGCTCGACAAAGTTTTGCCAATCTGTAAATTTGCAACTTTCCAGATTTATCATGTAGCAATGTTCTCCCTTTGGTTTGTTCAGTCTAAAGATGCACTTGTTTGTGCAGCATGGTTTAACTAATAAAAGAACCCTCATGCCCACACAAACACACACACACACACACACACACTCACACACACACACACACACTACCTTCATTATCAGGCCACTTTGCTTAGAGAATTAATTTCCTTCTCTGCCATATTTAACACAGGATTTTAATGTTTTTCATTTTGGATTTAATTGAAATGTGTTTCATTCCTGCTTCCTGTGTTTAGAGTATTTCGAGCACAACAGCTTTGAGCAGTTCTGCATCAATTACTGCAACGAGAAACTGCAGCAGTTCTTCAACGAGCGCATTCTCAAAGAGGTGGGTGACCCAGCGTTTGGATTCAGGTGATTCTGTGTGGTTTACTTCCTCTGTTCTGGGAAACCTGCCACGTCATGTCACTCACGAGCCAAACTCACCGGCTCTCACCTGTCAGTCAGAGGTGGTCGGTGCTCTGAGCTCCTTCTGTGTTTCCCTGCATCTCTCCCGTGCGCTCTTTCATTAGAATGCTAATTTCTCGAGGGACACGATGAGGCTTGTTCCTCCTCCTGTGATCTCTTAGCGTTATTCTCTTCCAAGGTTTCCAATTAATGCTCCACCATTCTGGTTTCAGCCTCTTTCTCATTAACTGAATCGTATATTGCGGGTTTGATGTTTGTTTGTTTGTTTTTTGAGGTGAGAGATGTTCTGAAGCCAATAAATATTTGATATTGAACCTCTTTTTGGAAACCAGTACTTCCAGTGTTGATTTTTGACTTTGGGACTTGTCTGTGCAGGAGCAAGAACTGTATCAGAGGGAGGGGCTGGGGGTGAATGAGGTCCATTACGTTGACAATCAGGACTGCATAGGTAAGTTCCTCTCCTGAAACCCTGCTGACCCTCAAACTGTGTGCATTGATTTTGTTTTTATTACTTTTCTTTGTGGACAGGCTCTTTTCAAAAGTTCATGATTTCCCTGATGAGATCTGTCACTGTCACCATCTGATGAGAATGATGCAGTCCACTCCACAGAACTAGAACGGCTTTCAGTAGATCACGCACCTTTGCCAAGGCTCAACAGTTCCCATCAAGCTGCACCACATTTTACACACTCATAGATGTTAGTCCTCTAAATATGTCAGGTTTTTTCATCAAGATCTTTTAATTATTCCTTAACAAATTGAGGAAAATGTACAAAAAAGCTCTATCTTTGAATGTAAAGGAAAATTCCTGATCCGGCCCTCTGATCCAGATCTGCACTGAAATTTAATGGCTTCTTCCCTGACCCATACTGCACCCTTCCACCAAGTTTCATGGAAATCTGTTTTTTTGTGTAATCTTGCTTTAAATCATACAAGCCAACCAACCGACAAACAGACAGGGGTCAAAACATAACCCCCTCAGGGAAGGTAATTAGAATCTTGCTCAGTAGATCACATACCTCTACCAAGGGCCGCCCGTCAGTCCCCTTAAATTCAATCCAACTGCACCAAATTGCACAAACTCATAGATATTAGTTCCCTAAATTTGCCATTGATTATTTCCTGGTAAATCGGTGAAAATGTCTTGCAATGTCGCAATGTCCAGATCTCAACCAGCATTTACTGGGTTCTGTCTTGGCCTGTGTCCCATCTTTGTGCCAAGTTTGGTGAAAATCCATTCTGTATGTTTTTGCGAAATCCTGATAACAAACCAACAGAAGCCAGGGGCGAGAACATCAGCTCCGAGGCAGAGGTGAAAAAAAACTGCATCGTAGAATCTTGAACACATCTATTTCTAAGAGGGCTGACTTGATGTGGTTTCAAATGATCAAAAAGGTACATGTGTGCGGGAGCGTGTGTGTAGAAAGCTACATGTATCACTGAGTGACACTCAGGGACATCATTAACATGTTGCCTTTGAGGGCCTGTGCTGCAGAACACAAAATGTAGTGACGGAGATGTGGCAGTCTACAGAGCCCACACACCACAAACGTACTGAGGTGGGTTCAAGTGTGATATCAGGTCACCCGCCTGACATTCATTTGGGCCATTCCTTGTGCTCTGGGCTACACATCACAGCAGCAAAAAATACACCTGTCAGGGGGACAAAAATACCAACTGCTCATTATTCAAGATGCTGGCATATCCGCCTGTGTGAAGGGAGCAGGCGTAATGAGTATTTGTGGGTTTTATGGCCTCTTTTGTGCTGCAAGAACCCGGAGAGATGATACCACCTTGTTTTTGTTGTCCCTGTCCTCGAATGCATCCTCAAATGAATGGGATGAAGTCGTCAGTGTATCAAGGTGAAGCACTTTGATTTGTATTTCAAAGGCTGTGATTATTCGGGTGCGAGGTTAACTGACAACCGTGAATAACATTTATGACTTGCAAATGACCATTTGGCTTGGCCATTAATTCATCCATCAATCTTCAGGATTTATGCACAGGTGCTTGGCCATGCAAATTTTTTTTTTTGCTGAGGTCCTTGGTTATTAGATTATTTTCCAAACACAGTGAGATGCATGAATAATTCAGATATGTAGCTAAATGAGTGTCCTGATGAACATGTTCAGTGCTTTCAATATTCCCATTCAAGTTTTTGTACCTTATAATTGACCATGTTTACAAGGCGGCCTTTTTCTCATGGCGGGACGAGATATGAGCAGAATAATGTTGTACTGATGGGATCCAGGTTTTTAAGTCATATAACCACAGGGAACGTTCACACCTGGTATTAACAAGTGGCCCCACATGTGTCTCGTGATCAGATATCACCTCCCCGCTGTATACAAACAAACGTGTCCATCATTTCTGTACACGAAGACCAAGTTATATTGTCTTTACCCAGCAGTGAGTGCACAAGTGTGTGGTTTGTGTGTGTGTCAGCACAAGCGAGCGAAAGAGAGGTAGAGAGAGAGCTGTGAAGACAGATACCAATTTAAGTAAAGTATCGATCATTATGTGGGGATTAGTCGGGGAGCCTTCAAAATTGAACAGCCTATGTGGCGCTGCTCAGACAGAATCGGTTTTCAAATGCAGCCTCCGAAGCCCCCTTAAATACTTTTGCAGAGATTCATGGTTTTAGTTGTCCATGAAAATGTCTGTAAACATTTGTGGATGCTTATGGATTTCAGTTGAAGTTCTTCCACACGGTAAATACTGTACATTAACACAAATCATAGCACTGTGGTTGATGGATGAATATTTGTTGTTTCCAGACCTAGTGGAGGCAAAGCTGGTGGGAATCCTGGACATTTTGGATGAAGAGAACCGACTTCCGCAGCCCAGCGACCAACACTTTGCTCTGGCTGTTCACAGCAAACATAAAGACCACTTCAGACTGACGGTCAGACCTCTTTCCCACACTCCCTCCCTCTCTCTTCTCTTCCACTGTGCTTCTTATTATCTCTCACCTTTTGTCCTTTATTTCTCTCCACTCTTCTGCCATTATTCACTTTCTTTTGTGCATTTAGCTCTTTTGTGACAATTTAACTGCACCGCGGTTCTGCCATTGTGGTGATTTTCGCTCTGGCTGTGTGTTACGGCAGGTTTTGTGATTGTCAGACAGTTTCATTCCCTCCCTCTTTGTCAGTGCCTGTATCTCCACAAGCATGAAAATGTAGCCTTGACACCAATTCAGGCTGAAGATAAGAGGTGGCCGGCTGCAACCACATTCAAATAAAAACCCCTCTATACATGAGAAAGAATAAAAGGCATGAATTCTAATGTGCTTTAATATGCAGTGAGTTAACATTTCTACCATTTGGTTTTTACACTTACATGAAAAAAGAGATTCATGGATTCCTCTCTGATGAGGAGCTTAAAAATGCTGGTTACTGCATTTTCTGTTCAAGTAAAAAAATAAATATGGTTCTTCATAATCCTTGAGACACATGAGATGAATGAGGCAAAAATTAGAAAAACATATCTTGATGTCTGCAGTTGTTTCCTTGTATATTCATGCAAGTCAACATATTAAACAAGTACAATTTCCCTGTGTAGAGTTTGTGATGCCTTGTTGCAGCTGTAGAGATGTCGATCAATATATATGTGTGTGTGTTTCAGCGCTGTCATTTAATATGATTTGCTTCTTCTTCTCCCACTCAGGTTCCCAGAAAGTCCAAGCTGACCATCCACAGGAATCTCCGGGACGATGAGGGCTTCATCGTCCGGCACTTTGCTGGAGCAGTCTGCTATGAAACGGTGATAGTGTTCTTCAATTAGTACATTAAAAAAATGCAAAAATAAAACAGCCACCACTGTTTCCCAAAGCTCAAGGTGACGTATTTAAAACTCTCTCAGATTCAGACACGACAGAGAAAAACAACCATAGCTCACAATGACAAAACAGAAATAGGGAATTTTGGCTTGAATGAATAATCAAATAGCAGAATCAATCATCTTTCAATCAGCTCATTTAATAATCAACTAGTAGATTGAGGTCTATTGCATTTGTGGACCTGGTACAAAGGTCACAGCACATCCCCTGGAAACATTATTTATCTGTGTTTAATTTTTATTCTAAAGCTCTGCAGTTACACACATGTAAATGTGTGTATGCATGTGTGTGTGTGTCCACAGACTCGGTTTGTGGAGAAAAATAATGATGCCCTGCACATGTCCCTGGAGAGCCTGGTGTGTGAATCGAAAGACAAATTTGTTCGAGAGCTGTTTGAGAACTCCAGCACCACCAAGGACTCCAAACAGAAGGCAGGCAAACTCGGCTTCATCAGCGTCGGCAACAAGTTCAAGGTCAGTGCGACTGTTAAAGTCAACATTTGTCATTTTTCATCATCAAAGTCCCTCAAACTGATTTTTTTAAAACTTGCTCATTTTTAGTTTCTGATAATACCTTTGAATTTCTCTATGAAAAAGATTAGAGGACGAATAAAAGTTAAATCTTTCACAGTGAATGATAAATTATTTAAATTACACTTTTAGATTTTAGATTATAAAAGATATTATTGTCAGGGGCCTTTAAATTTTACTTGCAAACTTATTGTGTATTAGTTTTTCTCAGAGATTTTTTGGAATGCATTTAGATTTAACTAAAGATGCACAGAGTAAAAATGTGTGTGAAATACTAAACACTGCTCTACTCTGTCTCTACGCCTGTTTTCTGTCTCTAATTTTCAGACCTGTGACTTTCCTCATTTCCATCCTTCTCTCTCCTCCTCGTTCACAGCTCCCCTCTTAGGTTTCCTCCAGTCTTCCTCCCTCTTTCCTCTGAGAAAACCTTCCTTCCTGAATAAAGCTGGATAATGTCAGCTTGAGGTATAATAGAGAGGAGTCAGAAAATAGTAGGAGTGGGAGAAAAAAGAATAAGGGAAAGAAAAAAATGAGTGTGTTCAGGGTGAAATAGAAGTACGCTGCGTTCACCCAACTCCAGTCTTATGCTGTCACTTACTTCTTTGTGCTGCACATCTTTTTCAGATTTGATTTTTCTTCATCACTTGTTATGTACCTTCACAAATGCATGAGACATCGACTCAAGCATGAAGATGATGTTCCGGATGAGTTCATTTTAATAAATGGTTTGAGATAAAAAGCCAAAATGAAGGATGTGTGGTTTTAGGAATCAGTTTTTAACAGTATTCATTCATAAATCATACATTCATGCAAAGTATGTCCTGTATGCATACTTGGTTTTCAGCATGTTATATTTTTCTTCCACTTTTCCCTCCCGTCTCTGCCACGTTCCTGACAAACATTTTAAAACAAGTGGTCATGAAGCAGCTTGTTTTGTCTCTTTGCTTCCACAGACTCAACTGAACCTGCTGCTGGAGAAGCTTCGCAGCACCGTGAGTAAAACTCCCTTTCTTTCATTTCATATTCAGTAGAAAGATCTTTTTGAATCCTCTTTGAATCAGTAGAAAATAAATAACCCTAATCAAAAGTATGTAATGGAATATGTTAGCTTGCTGCAGGACTATAATTGAATATATGTTTTTAGTCAGACACAGACTCGTGTCAGGGTGGAGACAGATCAATTTCTGATTGTTCATTGTGTGCAGGGCTCAAGTTTCATCCGCTGCGTAAAACCCAACCTGAAGATGGTGAGCCATCAGTTTGAAGGAGCCCTGATTCTCTCACAGCTGCAGTGCTCAGGTAACAACACTGAAACATCATATGTCATATTCTGTATTTTAAAAGTACAGACCTCAGAAGCTAGTGGAAATTTATTTGTAGAGCCATTTCAGACACAAAATTGGGTCAGGACATTTTGTCTGTCACAAGAAGAATGCAGCAGGAGATTGTCTGGGTCAGGAAAATGTATTGAACATTCAGACGAGAGGAGGCTCGTGGGTAGAACTTGCAAGAGACAGGACACAACATAAATTTGGCTGAAGAAATCTTGTTTGTTCTTGTTGAAATCTTTGTCAGCAATATTTTTTTGCTCTATTCACACATGGGCTCACTCAGACCACGGTTTTTAATAGTTTAGTTTCCTGGTCATACTACTCATACACAATTTGGAAACAATAACTTTAGAGGAAATCGTCATTTGTTTAATTTTGCTTTAACACCAGTTTAAAACAGTGACAGTGATAAAATGTTCATTACAGACAGGAACAGAACAATCCTGTCAGTAGTGAACTGTTATTCCTCAGGTGATCCAGGTTCTTTGTTTGCATGGTTGTTTTTTACCAGGCATGGTGTCAGTGCTGGACCTGATGCAGGGGGGGTTCCCCTCCAGAGCCCCCTTCCACGAACTCTACAACATGTACAAACAGTACATGCCAGATAAACTTACACGACTGAACCCACGACTCTTCTGCAAGGTGGGATAACAGAACTGTTTTCATGAACAGTTTCCCCTTCAGTGGAAACATTTAAACTGCTGTTTGGTTTAAATAACAAGATAATCTGTTTGAAATAAATCCGAATTAGTTGCGGAATTTGTACGAAGCAAATAAAACCTATATTTGTAAAATGATTAACTCACATAAACAGATCAGTGCCCTAATTTTTTACCATATATATAATACTGCTGTGAATTTGTTCCTCTGCAGGCGTTGTTCAAAGCTCTGGGGCTGAACGACATTGACTTTAAGTTTGGACTGACCCGAGTTTTCTTCCGCCCTGGAAAGGTACAGTAAGGTCCTCGAGACTAATTACCAGGTCATTATCTGCACTATGCTACAGCTCTTGAGATCACAAGTGTGTGCCGTCATTCCTGCGCTTTTGTCCGTGTGCGTCAGTTCGCGGAGTTTGACCAGATCATGAAGTCCGACCCAGACCACCTGGCAGAGCTGCTGAAGAAAGTCAACAAGTGGTTGGTGTGTAGCTGCTGGAAGAAGGTCCAGTGGTGCAGCCTGTCCGTCATCAAACGTATGTGAAATCCTGGAGAGTCTGGAGAGAGAAAGAGAAACTCAAGCAGATTTAAACACGTCATCACAAACATCACAAGGCACTCAGACAGCAGTTACCACCATACTGCATGTATTTAGATCAGGTCTCCAATAGGATGCACCAACATTTTCTGAAATTTACAAAAATGTATGCCCTGAAAACATGACTTGGATTATTTTATATTCAATTCCTGCCAATAAACCCCTTTCACCTAAATCTTACACACTGAACCTTTAAGCTATTTTACTTTACAGTGATTAAATCCTCCCTTATTTCCTCACAGTGTATTTTACTGCTCTTTCAGCCATGTCATATCATATGTTACACTGTTCCATTCATTCTGCGTGTTGGAAGCAGCAGCCTCCAGCAGTGTGGAATAGTTCTTTAAGAGCAGTTCCTTGAACCATCACACCCTGTGCCAAGTTATTGATTTCCACCTTTTAACAAAGTGCAGGCTCGCCTCTGCTTATTTGTGTGAAAGCATCAGATGAAATTACATCAACGTTAATAGCGGAACGTTGCCTCTGCATGACCCCACATTTCCTGCATAAGTGACCTGAGGACATTTATGTTCCTGGTCATTTAATATCTTCAACACTTCACCTTGTTATTACAGATTCATTTGCGCCCGTATGTGTGTTTGACATAGTGAGGCAAAGAGGGCATGTATAGTGCACATACTAGTCTTATTGTAACAATAGTATTATAGTGTCGCCGTGTTATTAGCATTATTATTTTCACAGCTTTCACACAAAAGGTTTATTGTAGCATTTTGAATTTTATATATATCTTTAAATTGACTTTGGGCTTGAAATGCTTCCCCCTTCAGAACAAGTATGGAAATGATGTATTCATTTCAAGTTGTGCAAATGTGTTTGTCCTTTATATTAAAGTATTTTTACACATCTTTGTTTGCATGCTCTACAGTCAGAAACAAGATGAGTTACAGAGCTCTGGCCTGCATTAAGATTCAGAAGACTGTCCGCATGTGGTTGTGTAAGAAGAAGCATAAGCCACGGTGAGTCTGCCCCTGTTCTTTTTGACTAACACACACACACACACACACACACACACACACACACACACACACAAACACACACACAAACACATGCCTCACTCCAACCATCTTTCTGCTCTGTGACCTCTGCCCCCTTATTTTTTTCCTTTTTATTTTACCCTGTACTCTCTGTGCCTCTGCTCTCTTTATTCAAATGGCTTCACGCTTGGTGAATTCTGATGGCTTTCCCACATCGTGCATTTAGGACTTCAAATCAATCTATAAAGTAATCTGTTGTGAAATGATGTGTCACCCTGCTGCTGTGGGAAATACCACACGACTTGCTGTATTGGGTTGAACTTGGAAACATGGCTCCAGTGAAAGCAGCCATTTAGATAATGGGTTTCACAGACAGTTTCTTGGGAGTAAATTTTAATTGTGAGTGGCAGATTGAGTTAGTCAAAACGTTTCAACACTTACACTCCTGGAGTTATGAGGGTTGTTATTTCTAACAGTACAAAACTATCTGTCTGTCTATCTGTCTATACTGCATAGTTATATCTATATAGATATATACTCTATATTTGTATATATATATAAATATATATATATATATATCATTTCAGTCCATCTTTATTTAAGTCTATATGGGGATATAGATACAGTCAGATGACATTCAAATAACTCTGACCCTTGATATCTCTGATTGCTATGATGACCTATAAGCTAATTTTTATAATATATGATAAGTAGGGTTAGCTAGTCACCCCAAAGCACATATAAATGGAATAATTTATGTTTACGCACCTAAGTTCGAGATGACTCACAGTTACAGGAAGAGAAAGTTATACATCAAAATTATGTTGGTTTTTTTTAATGTATTTTATATTAAGAAATAGCTGTCACTTTTTTCAATCAAACTCTTGTTATGCTCTAAATTCATAATAGCATTTTCCCTCCTCACAGCATCGATGGTATGGTAAAGGTTCGGAATCTGAAGAAACACATGGAGCGGTTCAACGAGGTAGTAAACGTGCTGAAGGAGGGCAAACAGGAGATGGCCAAACAGGTCCAGGAGCTGGCCACCTCCATTGACGCTCTACTAGCCAAGATAAAAGTGAGTCGATGCTTTCACTTCCTGTAGCTCCTCGCCACAACATTGTTGTTGCCCAATGTCCCTTTATTGTTCGTTCTCTCATAATCAATATTTTTAGTCACCTCGGGATCAAAAGAAGAGCCGGGCGGAGGAGAAAACACTCTCCTCTGTAGTTTGATAACTACTTGATTTAATTTAATCAGAATGTTTTGCTAGATTATCAAACTGGGTTCATGAAATCCCAGCTCTCCCTGTGCAATAAGCACCGGTCTTATTGGACCCTCTAGGTGCAGCACATCATCACAATCACATTTGATTATTATGCAGAGATTTGGTCTCTGATTTTGCTTTCATCACCTGGACGGAATCATCAGGTGTGACTGGAATTCTCATCGGTTCCTTAAAGTATCCTGATTGACACCCACGCACCAGTGACTCTTGACCCTTCCTCTCTCGTCTACTTCCCCCTCTTCTCCTGTGTTCCTCTGTTAGCCTATTAGCAGCCCCACCGTGGACACTCGTGGCACCGTGCATGCTCAGAAATCGCTCCCGGCATGGCATCACTGAATGAATAATGCATGTGGTGCCAATGGCTGTCATTCAGGCCTCTATACGTTGGGGACAAGACCTTGTCATCTTCCCTTCCCGTGCCACTCTAATGAATCTTCACGATGACGTGACCTCTTCTTTCCTCACTGATTGTCTGACAAGAATAGTCGGGTACTCAGCATTATGGCTGCGGAGTGTCAGTCAGCGGCTTCCATTTGTTTTGCCACATGGGAAAGTTGTGCCATGCTAACTGAGGAGTGTGTGCCAAGTCAGAATGAGTGCAGGGATGTCATTCTCTCTTAAATGCCAGTAGACAAAAAAGTATTCAGCATCCTGCGGGAATCTCACCAGATATTATTATCAACAAACACCTTGTGGTGACAGTGTTCTGAGCAACCCATGGTTCTGACCTCTACCCGAGGCTCGGGGAGGAGAATTGATTCAAAAGTTAGATAAAGTAATTGAAAAAAGTTGATTTTGTGATCGTGACCTGCCACACTCCTTCTCTCGAATCGTAGACCACGATGATGACTTGGAAAGAGATTGACACAGAGTACCAGGGGCTGGTGAAGCGCTCGGAGCAGCTGCTCTCCTCCATGCAAAAGAAGAAGCAAGAGGAGGAAGAGGGTGAGAGGCTGAAGCACATCGAGGAGGAGATGGACAAAGAGAGGAAGAGGAGGGAGAAGGAGGAGCAGCGGCGCAAACAGGAGGAAGAGGACAGAAGACTGTAAGTGACGATGTTTTAGGACGATATAACGGCAGATGTATGAGACTATAAGCTGTCTGACTCATCTAACATTTGTTTTCTTTCTCTATAAACATTATAGGAAAGCAGAGATGGAGCTGAAGAGGAAGCTGGATGAAGAAGATAGAAAAAAGAGACAGGAAGAGGAGAAAGTCATACAGGTTTGGACCTTCCTCTACTGTTGTAGATTCCTGCTGAAAAGTTGAAAAGTCCGGACAAAAGTTTAGAAAAAGGACATAACATCGGTTTAGAAACTCATGCAGAAGCCCAGTGAGTTAACGGATCCCTACTCCCCTGCAGGGACTCACCAGTACTCACTCCCTGACAGTGTTATCACAATTACACAAGATGGTTTCCCAGACTTGGTGAAGTTAACAGGGTCTGAAATGTTATGGTTTCTCCCAGTTTCAAGGCCAAACATAAAATAAACTGAGTGATTTAATTTTTTTTTTTAGATTCCTCTTTTCTCTGAATCTCTAAATTGACTAAATAATCGAATCAAATTGCCTTTAAATACGCGCTGTAAGTTTTCCATAAGCATTCAAACACATCAAGGATGTTTTTAACTGTCACTTCTTCTTCAACAACATAACAATAACCTAACTTCAACCAAATGTCAGAAGTTGAATTCATTCAGCTCCATACTAAGCTACTAATCCCACTGCAGGAAACAAAAAAAACACTCTACCCCACCAGTTGGATTGTCATGTTTCCTCTCAGCTGTAAACTCTGCCTGCTCCCCTCTCCGACTGAAACATTCATTTGCTCTTTGGACTCCCACGACAACAGCCAGGTCATGACATTGGTCAGCTTCCCTCTGGGTTTTCCGCGGGGTCTTGATTGAAGATTCCATCGAGTTTCCCCCGTAATTGAAATACTTCATCCCTCGTCTGCTCCTCCGTTCGTCTGTCTTTTAAATGCACATCCCACCTTCTCTACATCTACAGCTCTTTGTAACTCAGCAGAAGTCGGACATGTGCATGCTGTCCTGTTTTTTTTTTCCCTAGCAGTGAGATTGCAGACAGGCCACGTGTCTCAGGAGACAAAGTTTGTTTATCGTCCAGCTCTAAGACTCAAAGCAGCAGAAGTGAACTCAGTTTGTCTGCTGTGACATCACTGGCACTTCATGTCTTTGTCTGCTGTGTCAAAGGTCCGTCTAGCACCGCAATCCTCCTCCCTCCAAACTTTTAAAAATGTTTTTAAAATGTCTTTAAAGGTAACCTTGGACAGTTGGTAAAGTCCTGTGGTGTCAGAATAATTGGAAAAACAAGTTCCTGACTGGGTAAATTCACGTTCAGCATTAATGTCTTTTCCACATTCTGACTTCAAAAAACATAAACAAACCGATCTCAGAGCTCGGAAAAAATGGGCACTTTACTTCACTGTTTACTTTCTGACAGGGGAGCACCACAAAACTGGAGGCTTCCCAAGTGGTACCCTTATCACCCACAGCGGTGTAATTCATATTTTGGAGCATCTCACACATCTTATAGCTCTCAAACAATACATTTGAAGATGTGTAGAGATATTGATTTTGTAAATGGATGACGGGCAAAGACTCAGTTGGCTGTTTTCTTATGAAACATCAAAATTAAACAGATATTCATAGAAAGCCTGGGAGAAGAGATAAATATTATATTCAAAGGTTCCATGTGTGGCCCTTTCATTTTTGAGTGTGTAGCATCCCTTTTTACTTGTGTTTATATATGTATGCATAGTCAGAGAGAAAGGAACCAAGAGGAATGTTGGGGATAAAATACAGATCATTGTTCAAACTGGAACCATCCCAGTTTTCAGCTCTCTCATCCTTCAGTCTGATCATGTATCCGAGCTGATGGTTGGACCATTTCACAGAATGAATAATGTATTCTTAACTGGAAAGGTTTTCATATTTATAACCCCTCATAGAAAAAGGGACCATTGTGGACTTCATTTTCTATAAGACGAAAGGTGGATATACTGGATACAGCTGGATACATATATGTATTGATTCATACATTTACAGCATATTCCCTCCAGTTGTCTCTTGGCAAGCTCTACTGTAAAGAATGACTAATACGTTTTCTGATGAGCAAAATAAAAAGCTTGAGTTTGAATCTGGGTCAAACAAAATGTCCCTACTTATTGTTGTTTTATGCTTCTCTGTTGTGTCTAGACAAATGATCAGTAAAGCTTTATCAGCAGCCTGGATAAACAAACCTAATCACAGCTCAGCAGAGCTCTAACTGTTATGAAGGGTCTGGCACTCATGTCAGCACCGGTAATTAGACAGGATCTAGATTTTAGTAGATTTGACTGAATAACACATTAAGAGTGAAAATGCTGTGGCGTGTGTTTGTGTGTGTGGATACAGGCCGAGTTGGAAGTCCAGCTGGCTCATGAGCGTGAGGAGCAGGTCCAACGCACCGCCATAGTGGAGCAGGAGAGACGAGACAGGGAGTTGGCCATGAGAATCGCCCAGAGCGAGGCGGAGCTGATCACAGAGGAGGGCCAGTTGGACCCAAGCCTGCGCAGGTATTGCTCTGCACGTGTGAACGCAATGCACACCTTCGTGCAGCGTTGACATCAACATGCATGTGTAACCACGTCTCTCCTGTTGCTGTGTTTTCTCCCAGCGAAGAGTCTCTTTCAGATCTTCCTATCTCCTCATCCTCAGCCAGAGCCATGTAAGATATCAGTGCCGCTGTCCATGACCGATCATGTCCAAGCACGACTAACACCAACAATAATCACTCCCCTCCCTCACTGTCTGTCTGTCTTCAACTCGATCATAGCCCTGAATCTCCCCGCTGATGAAAATAGATGCAAGATTACACCAGCAATGTAAAGCCAACAGAAACAAACAGAAAATAAAATAAAAAGAATAATTATGTGATGACTTAAGAAATAAAGATGACACAGTATATCATATATATGCAGTGGATCAGTATGTGACCACATGTGCAGAATGAGATCTTATATTCCTGATCTGCACTGTGTTAAAAACTCGTCTGTTTCCTTTGCAGTGCTGGTGCACACAAGCACACGATCATGACCATGTATGTGCTTCCCCTGTCTCTGACACTCACTGTTAACAAAGCTTGTCAGGTGCTCATGTCCTTTATATATATATATATATATATATATATGCATATTTTGTAACTGCTTCATAACTGTATGATATTTACAAGATACATTTAGTTTTACGCTCTCCATCTGCTACAACCTTTAATCCCATCTGTGATTTCAGTGGATTTTAATTTTAATCTTTACTTACTCCCTTACAACAACTCACAATATTCATAATTAAATCATATTACCCCAGTGAGGACATGAGCTGTGTCCTTTAATTGGCACATGAACGAGTTGTTCCTGAAGTAAGCTCTTATGGAGAGCACATACTGTTCCTCCACCAAGACCATTCCCCTATCTTAATTGATAAGCCATGGAACCACCATATTGCATGTATTGTGTTCAGGTCCAACATCAGATATACCAACATTTTCTGAAATGTACAAATGTCAATCAGTAAGTCCTGGATCTGCCTGATTATCCACATCTGCTCCAAAATCGAATGAGTTCATCCTTGGGTCATACCCCACCTCTCCAGAAAGATGAGTGGAAATGGGTTCACTATTTCTTGAGTTACCCTGCTGACATACAGACAAATAAACAAAAGTTAATGAAAACATTAAATTAAATATTAATATGATATAATATGATATACAGTATGATGTAGGACAGCAGCCTTCATACTCCTGAACCATAATCTGAATTTGAACTAATTATCTGTGTCCCTTAATTTCCACAGCTCCGCTCTTTGTTTAATACCAGGAGACATTCTCTCTCTGTGCGCTGCTTTATCTGCAGGTGCAATGAAAACCGAATTACATTTGATCCAATAGCCTGTAATCGTGTCAGTGTTGGCTCAGGCACCCAGGGGCCACACATGTGTCCCCATGCAATTCCTGTGAGTCAGATAAACAGCTCCAAAGTCCTCCAAAGGTGCATGTGCACACACCAGAACTTACACACATGAAGGCATGCATACAGAAGTACTGCAGAAGTACATTGGTTGCCATTGTAGCTGAAGGTTGACCAAGAGACCTCAGACTCCCTCCACCTTCCTCTTCTCGAATTCACCTATTTCCTGTTCACCTGCTGTCAAAAGCCTTGACTGCACGTCTCAGCCAGACTCAGTTTCATCTTTCCAGTCAGTATGAATTAAACGTAAATGGTTGCGGTAATCTGGTTAATGTTTTCGTAGATCAGTAATCCTCTACTCTGAGACAGCGGCAGCCATGCCGACTGTAAATAGAGGAGGTAAATCCTTTGTATTATTGAATAAGCAGCTCCAGCTCAGCAGGGAGGCTGGAGACATGAGATCAGATCTGCTGCAGCTGAAACTCTGCACGGTCGGTTTGATTTATAAAGTAATGCAGGGTTTCTGCTTTTTCCAGTCATCTCACGTAGCTGTTAACATAAAAAACACTGAAATGCCAGCAGATGTACAGTGAGCTGGCATCTGGCAAATTGTAACATCAGAATAGTTTTGCATTATTTTAAGTGGAGTGGAAACAGCAGGATGTAAGAATATGGACAGACTCCGCTCTTCAGCTCCCCTGCTGTCTGACCAGCCTCTATTGAATTTTAGAAGAAGTGACACATCTTTTTCCCTCTCTCACCCATGCTCGTCTCCTCCTTGCCACAGGGGTCCTCAGGTGCAGGCTACAAAAGCCGCCGCTGGTGTGAAGAAGTATGATCTCAGCAAGTGGAAGTATGCCGAGCTGCGAGATGTCATCAACACCTCCTGCGGTGAGAAATCCCTAAACACTCTCAAGCTCTGTCTGATGCCAACTGTACAAAAAAAAAAAGTGCATGTGCGCTGAACCAGCCACGAGGTGGAGGAGCTATTAGTGACACACGTCTTTGCCCTGCTTCACTACAAATGTATTTACAGCTTGCAGCCCCCTCGTTAAATAATTCAGCAGCAGATCATGTTTTGGAACTTTTCTCATCCAAAAATGTGTGGTACCCTCTACACACACACACACACACACACACACACACACACACACACTTGTTTTTCATCTGCACTCTGGCACTTTTTCCCCTCGGTAATTTTATTTTGAGTAGCTGAAGTGACTGTTAAAAAGCTGAGACTGCAGATGTGGAAACGAGACGTCTTGCCTGAGAAAAGCAAAAGATCGATCCGAGGAAGTTCCCACAGCTGCTGCCGCTCATCAGCATTCGCTTTAGTGGGGGAGAGAGGAAATTACCGCCATTATGGAGGATGGCAGACTCCTGCCCTCTCCTCGTCGTTCCCAGCCAGCCCTCTCGTCAGTCAGTGTGAAAAGCAGAAGGCTCTCTGCTGGCTCCCTCATCGACGCTTCTATAAGTGCCACTGTATACAGTTCTCTGAGCAGTGTTACACTCTCTGATTACAAAGACATCTGGCTAATTTGTGAACCCATTTGCTTTGCTAGTGCTGGTGGTAATATCAAAAAGTTGTGTGAGAAGTCTCACTGATTATGTTCTCTGCAAGTAATGTTTTTATAATAGGGATGAAAACACACTGTGCTATGAGAACCTCATATCACTTATCACCTCCAATGGTTTGACCCCTGTTTGTTTGTTTGTAACCTAGATTACAACTGAACCCAGTATGGGTCAGGGAAGAACCCATTTAATTTTGATGTAGAGCCAGGATTTTAGTTTTTCCACTTTAACTAACATTAGGAAATCAGCTGCATTTCAACATTTTCACTGATTTCCCACAAAATGGATGGATTTTGATGAGAACAAGCATATTTAAGGGACTGATACAATGAGTGTGTGAAATTTAATGAGTCCATTAAACTTAAAATGTTTCCAGGTACTTTGTTTTCATCTAAGTCTTGTTTGAAGTTGTCTCATGAGTAGTCTTCCGAATCACCAAAACAATATTTCAGCTTTTTAAAATGTCTCTGACAAAAAATGTTTCCTCCTAAAACAGAAAATATTTACAAAAAGAAGTTCCAGGAAAATGTCAGTAAACACTGTATAAGACAGCGTTAGAGCCAGATAGAAAACAATACACACGTTTCTTATCATTTACTTTCTTACCAAGAGTTTATCAAGAGGATCAAAACCTCTCATGTACGTTACACTGCAGCTTAGTTAGCTCAGCTTAGCACAAAACAAACAAGGGGAAACAGCTAGCCTGGTTTTATTCAGTGGTGATAAACTCCACCTACCAACAGGAATTAGTTTCACCCACAAATGGGAAAACATGTGGTTTGGAGGCAGGAAGGGGGAAATATAACATTAAAATACAACCCAGGATTGTGGGAAATGTAGTTTTTTCAGTTCCCTGCATCTTATCATTCAATGTTGACGACTCTCCTGCCTGCTGTGGATTTGCCGACATTATATAAAGTTGAATAAAAGTCACTGAACTGCACCTTTATCACATTTCACTTGTCCAGAATTTGAATTCGTCTTTAAAAGAAATGATAAATGTTGTGAAAATGTTTTTAGACCAGCCTAAATAGGCTGAAGGGGATAAGTCATACTTTAATGTTTCACTATTTTGCTTACTAGTTTATGCTTGCTACCTCATATTGTGTCGCCAGACATCGAGCTGCTGGCCGCCTGCAGAGAGGAGTTCCACCGCCGGCTGAAGGTGTATCACGCATGGAAATCCAAGAACAAGAAGCGCGACGATGACGGCAGTGATCAGAGGGCTCCTAAATCTGTCACCGACTACGGTTAGTGGTACACCGTCTTCTCAGTAATACACTTTCATTACACACTTCACCTTAGGGTATGAGCGCAGGTCTGTGTTCTCTCACACCTCCCCTCCAGGTACGTTAGGTTCAGCTTTTCTCGAGGGGAATTGACAACCTGCGCAAATAGCCCGCCTGTGCTTTCTAACATTCAATTAGACGTCGAAACACCTAAACAGCTCAAAATGCAGCTTCTGTCTGGCTCCGTCAGAAATATTTGTTTTAATTAGCAAGTAACTGCCAGACATGGCTCGTCAGGTTCAGCGACTGCTTGTGTGACAGCTCGCTGCTTCGCTCATTTCATTCCCAGCTCAGCCAAGCATGAAGCATGACACACACACACACACACACACACACACACACACACACACACGCACACACACACACACACACGCACACACACACACACCTGCTGTTCTGCATTTCCCTTCTTTTTCCATCGTGAACAGACATTAGACTTGATGGGGAATGGGAACATTAGACTCCCTGTGGCTTCTACTTTCACGATATTTACCTGCTCTCTCTTTTGATATGATAGCTCGTGAAAGCTGTTCTAGCTGCACTTTGTTTGTCTAATATTCGGATCCTGTTCTTGGCCTCCGCTGATGCTCCAGGGGTCTTATCAAAGCATTTCATAAGAGGCTAAAAGCTGCTTCACATGGATTTCCCAATGCAGTGTTTACTCGGGCATTTCCTGGGTCCTTTTTGATCTTGTATGTTTAGAAAGCTTTAAACATTGTTTTCTGCCCGGCTCGGTGTAATTTTACTGAAAGTAAAAGACGCAAAAAATAATTTGAAACCAAATGAAAGATGTTTTTCTGTAAACACTCCCTCTTGCAATGATACTCCGGAGATAAACAATCAATCAAATGTTAAAATGATGGCACTTTCTCTCGCCGTCCCTCTGCAGCTGAACAGAACCCAGCTCCTCCGATGACGGCCCAGCATCAGGAAGTGGCCATGAACCGGCAGCAGCGCTACTTTCGCATTCCCTTCATCCGGCCCGCGGACCAGTACAAGGACCCGCAGAATAAAAAGAAGGGCTGGTGGTACGCCCACTTTGATGGGCCCTGGATAGCCAGACAGATGGAGCTTCACCCAGACAAACGGCCCATTGTGTTGGTCTCGGGTGAGTCTGCAGCTTTTAGTCGTATCCTAGAAACATCATCTCTATTAAATAATGATGTTTTTCTTTCAAATGACCAATTTAATATTTATGCTGGAGACTTTTTTGGCCAGGGTAAAACAAATGAAATGTAGAGTCGACTTGTCCCTGCCTCACAGGGGGTACTGTGGTATAATCCTCTTTCCCTCCACCACCAGGTAAAGACGACATGGAGATGTGCGAGCTGAGTCTGGAGGAGACGGGCCTGACCAGGAAGAGGGGGGCGGAGATCCTGCCCAGGCAGTTCGAAGAAATCTGGGAACGCTGTGACGGGATTCAGTACCTCAAGAAAGCCATTGAGAACAAGCAGGCCCGCCCCACGTACGCTACCGCCATGCTCCAGAGTCTGCTCAAGTGAACCACAGCACACAAGATAAGCACACAAGCACCAGTCTAGTCCTGGAACATGTGAAGGGCGAAAGATACTCGATCATCTCATTTTTAATGTTGGTTTATTTTCACTTTTTATATCTTTATTTTTGCAGTGGAACACTACATTGGTGCAGCGTTAGCATTTATTTCTTCTTCTTAGTCTGTGGTTGAAAGTAACGAGGCCTTAAAATGCAGTTTCACTGCACAAAACCAAGGAATTCTTAACTGATGTGTAGCCTGTAGCTTTAAACCTGGAACCTTAACAGTCTGTGATAGGGACAAAAAAATAGACTTAATGAGAATATGTGTAGACATGCTGTGAAACAGTTTTGTTTTTCAAGTCATTTAAGCTTTTGTCATTTGAATATAAAGACTATCATCATTCACTGTCTATAAATACATCTGATTTGATTAGAAGCGATAATTTCATTTTTCACACTCATGTACTTTGTCTGGCTCCACCCCCTGGCGACCGGACCAGATAATGATGGATGCATTTTCTCTCCAAGATTTATGTAATATATTTAATCATGACACTCATAGACGCTCATACAACTAACAAACAGAATGCTATATTTATACATAATATAATGTTATCCTGTGTTTCATGAGTAAAAATCTAAAATGTTCTAATATATTTTATTCTTTATCTCAGAGGTTCTCAGCCATGGGCCCCTACAACAGTGGTTCTCAATCTTTTGCACTTCAGGGACCCCGTAAATGACAAGATTTTTGGGTTTAGATGTTTTATTACAGGACGTTATTGAAATTCAAGACCAAAATTTTCATACAGTTCCTCAGTGTGTTACTTATGGATGAAATTATAATCAAATTTCAGTCCTCACTTTCAGAACCCCTGTCCAGCAAGAAAGGCAAATAAACTGGAGAAAAATATTCACATTCTTAGAATAAATATTTTCACCAAGCAACACAGGATACCAATATATCATGACTAGTATGACTCTGGAAACCTTTCACGGACCCCCTGGCAGCGTGCAGACCCCCATTTGAGAACCACTGTTCTATCCACTACAAATTTAATGACATCAGATAGAAGAAATAACTTTGTGGCTCATTTTAAAATCTTTTAAATCTATTTCTCTCTGTAGTTGCAGAATGTATCTTTACCCCAGAGAAACCTTTGAGGAAAGTCTTCTTCATTTGAAGTATCGTGCTTTTCTCTGTTAGCCGTCTATTATTTTCATTTCTCTGTTGAATCCTTGATCACGTTTTTTGTATTGTTGTTTATTTGATATGTACGAGGAGAAGTGTAGACCTTTGTTTGCAGTTATGTGGGTTTGGGGTTGTTTTACAGACAATAATGTAATTTTTGTGTGTGTGTTTGTTCATGTGATATTTTATGAAGCTGATTACTTGACTCCTCTGTTGGTTGTGTCATGAACAATCCAAACATCTCAAAGCTACTGTTCTTTAGACTCACCCACATGAACTGTCGAGATACAGTCGACTCTGCTGTAACTGATGACTCACTGTCATATGTTCCCTCTTTGTACTTTGGCCTTTGCACTGGAAAACTCTAGGAAATAAACGTATGCTCCTCACGTTTTCCAGTTTTCTGTCTTGTTACTGGAGATATTTCCAAAGTTCGAAACACAGCTGTTAGTGGCCTGTGTTCTGTAACTGGGTCTGACATCAAAATGCTAATAGCTGCTTACAAGATTAGTGTGTAGATTAATTAAACAGCAAAGCCTAATGCACAGTGGATGTCGTCACTGAGCTGAGGCTCACTGCAGTCAAGTGATCAGCTGGATATAAACAGACGTAAAGGTCTCTTCAGTGCAGCTGTTACACTGAATGTTCAATAACAACACAAAAACTCTCCATTTGAATGTCCTTGATTTGACTGTCAACACTTTTTTACAATATTTATGCTGCTTCAAGAACGCCTTGATTGAGTTCTTCACATTTGAATCAAACATTCACTGGGACTTAAAGATTAACTGATCAGATTTTGGTGGTCTGAGGTCAAAGGTCAAGGTGTCTGTGACCCCATGTTCTTGTGACTGGTCCATCAGGAGCACTCATAGGGAATTTGATTGCATCTGGCACAAAACATTCACTTGGCCTCAACGATGACCTGATGAGAGTTTGGAGCTCAAGGTCACTGTGGCCCGACAAAACAATTTTGGTCTTGTGATTGCCTCAAGAGAATTCTTTCAAATTTGGCTAAATTAGATTTGTGTGGTCAAAGGTCAAGGTCACACTGGCTTCAAATAATCAAAATCAGGTTTTAGCTTCATGAATATATCTCAAGTCTGTCTTTAAGGGGATTTCTCTTCAATTTCTAACCAGTTGTCTGGACTCAAAGATTAAATGATGGATTTCAGTGGTCAAAAGTCAAAGGTCATGGAAGAAATCAACAACATGTTGACTTAAACTGCACTTGCTGGCGGAGGCATACAACCGGTAATGCTCGTTTTCATTCTTACATCTACAAGCGTCGAACAATCAAAGACAAATGAAATATCAAAGTTATTCATGCAAAAAACATTTTATTCTTCGTTATTAAATGTAAAATGCGTTAAAAAAAAAAAAGACTCAAAAGACATGATTAGTGGGAGAAGTTGTTTTGAACAGGACAAACTGAGATACAACACAGTAGCCAGTGTTTCTATACACAATACATCATGAACAAAGTCAGCAGCTTATACATTCATTCTCTTTTTGGGACATTACAAAGTTTGAGAGTAGCATTAAACAACATTGTACAGTCTAATGTTAAGATACCACCATGTGTATCAGTTTGTAAATAATAATAAATACCTCATTGTGAGGAAAGAACAACCTTTGCCAAGGGTATACAGGAAATGTTCCTACCAGACAATATATAAAATAAATATTAGGTTCCACTTGAAGACAACCTAAGTCCGCCTTAACATCCATAGCTCTGTCTAAAAAAAAAGACACTTTCATCACTATGAAGAAATAATCTCAATCCCTGCTCTACTGTACCTGCATCAGTGCATGAATCCCATTGAAAGTTGAACAGCAACGCAAGTCTCTTGTTTCTCGTGTCATCAAAGAACAGATTCTTCGAAACATTCGTTATTCGATGGCCTAAAGAGACAACATGTTTGGTATTCATTTGGCAGATGCCACGTCTGGAGGAGAGAAGAAGGAGAGTGTCATTTTTCATCTAATAAATTACAGAATAGACAAATAAATACATCTAGGCATCAGCTGCATTGTATAAATCAATCACAAATTTGATTAAATTAAGGAAGAGTCAAGTCATAAACACACAAATAGATCATTGGAAGGTTAGAATATCATAACTGTTCTATGATTTATCTTGTTTTCAAGTTTATAAATGCTTTAAAGCTAGGGTTGGTAACCCTGGAAAAGCTAACAAGAGCAAAAATGTAACCGATACATCAAACTCCCTCCCATTGACCCTCTCGTCAAACCTACACCCCAAAACGCATGAACGTGCACTGACTGAAAGCTGCTAGATACCAATGGCCCTATTTGGACATAAAGACAATGTCCACAAATTAGATTCAAAGTGTTTCAGAAACAAATGACCAACCATAGCTTCAAATGCACAAAACAATGATTTGGTTTGTGAGTAAAAAAGAAAATCAACGAGGTCAGGATGCAGACAAGTTTTACCTTTGTACGCATCATAGGGCTGTAAGATATTTAAAGTAAAAGTTGTTACCAACACCATCTTAAACCACAAGATAAAATACTGTTTATCTACTGTGAAATCACCAGATGTCACTGTATCTTTTCATGGCACATTTTATCAACTGATTCCTTCAACTTTACACTTCTGTCTCTGGAACTCACCTCATTGTGTGGTATGCAGTGATGTAAGTCCACAATCTCTGAGACTAACTTTTCTGATCTTGTTGTGTAGAGTTGTCTGGGGATCTGTGGAGACACGGAGTAGACAGGCTTGGCATTAACAGTGTGCTTCATTAATATATTATGGTTCCAGAGGCACTTAGACAAACAGATGCAATAAGGAAATAAAGCACTAGACTATGGCAGGATCAGCTGGAAACAAAGCAGACTGGCAACTCCAGAGTTATGTTTGATTGGGAAAACAAAGAAGTTGTGAATCATTTGTTTTTAAACTGCCTAATGTGTGTGATTTGTTTAAACAAAGTCTCTGAGCAGCTACTGAGGATATTGATCTAAATTTCATTGGCATTAAAACAGCAGTTCATAGTTTCAAATTCTATTTTTGTAATACTAAGAGATACATTGTGTTCCCTTCAATGGTAAATTTAAATGTTGTAACTACAAAACAAAGTTTAAAGCATTAATGTTCACTAATGTATTATCAATGTGTTAGTTTAGACTGATCGCAGGTTTGAGGTTAATTGTTAATTGTTAGTCAGTTTAGTCGTCTGTACTGCGCGGCGCCGCAATACCTCAATACTCAGATGTATATTCTCAAGAGAGACAAACTGTTCTCGCTCAGACTGTTGGGATTGGGAAGAAGCAGAAGAACTTGAAGGATATGGCAATGTGGACACTTGAGTTAAGACACCATCATCATTCTCAAACACTGGGTTCACCCTCAAAGTATTCTCAAAGGCATAGGGAGCAAGGGTGTGCCTACAATGTAAAAGGAGACGAGGTGAATGAAAATGCTTTTGAAACACCCCATGAATGACAAAAACTGTGTGCAAAACAGAGGAGGCTCATACTTACACCAAAGTCACAGCCTTTTTGGGCTTTATGCACTTCTTGTTAAAGAACATCAAAATGCCAATGACGCCACAAACAAGGCAGAGACTTCCCACGAGGCTGGTGATAATTAGCGGTGGGTCCACCGGCATCGACACCAGCTCTTCGCAGCGTTCTCCGTGGTAGTGCCAGTATTTACCTACAGGACATCTGAAAGAGATGAGAAATTATATATAAGTCACAGAGGTAGGTACCCTATATAATGTAAACTTCATTAAAATAAAAGGGCCCTAGGGTTTTTTTTTGCATGTTTCACAGGAAATGCACATAATTATAAATACAGAAAAACATCTTTTATAAATGCCAGATGCTGTATCTACAAATGCACATGAAATTCCCTATTTCCTCTTGCAATTCCATGACTCCCATTTCAAAACAAACCATATCCCTGTAATAGTTGAATGATGCAACACCCTTCAGTATTCAAACATGAACATATCATCATCATTTGCTGTTTCTAAATGATATGCACAGCACAACCCAAAAATCCCCCCTGCAAACTGTAAACCAGAACTAGAATAACACAGAGGCATTATAGAAACAAACAACTTGTCTCTAATCAATACATTATCCTCACTGGTTGGGTGATTTAAGCTTTTTTTTTTTTTACTTTTTGGCTAATCAAGAAAAATCTGATAGCTAAGACTTAACATTCAGCTTCTCAACAGCATCAAGCTTTGCAGGAAACTATTAGATTCACATGATCCTCTGCAAAGCATCGACTTTTGCTTCATGTTCAACTTCACGGCTTGAGAATGCATGTTTTTCAGCACTCATCTTGAATTTCCTTGGATTTATCCCCAAAAAAAATTTCAAAGCAAGCAACTGGTAAAGACTGAGATTAGATGTTGTCATCTCTCGGTTTTCTTTCATCCGTCAGCTGTTGTGTACCTGCAGGCGGCTCCATGTCCTGGGATTATTTCACACAGGCCTCCGTTGAGACAATAGTCCGGCTGCAGAGAGCAGGTGCTCTGACACGGCAGGCCGTCCACGGTGCGGTAGCCTGGATCGCAGAGACACTCCGCCTCATCAGTCCAACTGTTCACCACGCAGCGGGAAAACTCATTGCAGGCCAGGAACTTACAGGGGTCTCCTTGGTCAGCTGAGGAAAGAAAAGAGAAGAACCAGATGAGAAGAGGGATAGAGAGAGCAGAGTGGTGATGGCTCATTGATATTAATACAGTGTCCACAAGTCTCTCACTGTCTACAGTTTCAGAGGGGAAATTAAAGTGCATTTTGATTGATGGAGGTGTCAGTTTCCAATAAGGGTTTTTTAATGAAGTCACAAAAAGTCATGAACTCAAAAGGATGCAACAGATTTATACAGCACGTCACCGTCAAACTGCAGAGGACAGTCGAGTGAGGTTTCCTGTTGTGGAGTGTCTGGCCTTGTAGCATGAACGAGCATAAATCACTGCAAGTTCACAATATATGATTTTTCTTTTTTCAACAATGATGTGTCCACAAAATCCAGGATTGCTATATTTCATTCACATAACAAGGAAAAGCTCTTTCAAGAACTTTGAACTTACTTTTGTTTAGAGACAAGTTTCACTTAGCATATAACAGCAGAGAAATCAACAGTACAAGGACGTCTCACCAGGCTCTACTTCCAAGGAGCGGCTGTCGATTTTGATGTCAAGCCGCTTCGATGCAGCGCTGCAGAAGTCTTCGAGCACACAGTGCACAGCTTCTGTGACATTATAAGGTACCGGCTTGTCCAGTTTCATCTTGCTGTTCACCACGACGCTGCCGTTCCTAAAGTTGAGGATTTCCAGCTCCTTGAATCCAGTCAAATTGGACTCCAGATATGGAAGGAGCTGTGGGGAATGAGACGAAGGACAAATTATTTTCTGCAGAACTTCAACAGGTTCTATTTCATTATTATTCTTTTTCAATTTTACAGATGTATTAAAATTTTTCTCATTTGAAAAGATTAATTTTCTGTGCAGTTAGTGATCAGTGAGAGAAATGACTTCTTTGCAGCAGGAACATGGGATAGGCTGTACTGTGCCTGATTCATTTCATCCTAAAGGGTAAGAAAGGAATCATCGTTTGTCCTTGGAGCGTTTCACTTGGATATTTACTGTAGTATAAAATTATGTTCATGATTCATATCAGTGTCAAGTGTCAGCGAAGACCACACTGACTTGGACTCGGTTGTCATTGCTCAGCTGATTTTGAATTATTCAGGTCACATTTTACAGTGTGAACGCTATGAATAGTTCATAATTAAATTTTGATGCAAGCGTGAAATCCTGCCATTGCTGAGAGTGTAATTAGATTCAGGACAAAATTAGGGTGAGGTTTCTGAGCGTTAGTGTAAGAACACAGAGCATGTTATTTCTAGTCACGGAAGCGCCAGAGAACACATGATGAAAAGATCAGACACTTAAAAGGGTCGTGCATGGTAACAAAGCTATAGCCACATCTATAATATATACTGTTTGGAGCAGGCTTTTATCTCAACACATGCTACAGTGTTGTGTCAAGTATCTCTGCATTAGCCGACCTAGACTGCGCTGTAAAGTCTAAACACAGAAACCATATAGAATCCACATAGATTTCAAATAAATGTCTTTTTGACATCTTGCACCATCTAACAATAATTGTGCCAAAACAATGTGGAAGTTTGGGGGGGAAAGCCACACTGCTGTAATCTGGCTATAGGCTAGCTGGTCTGATAATCTTAAAGCTGATTCATGCTTCTGCGTCGAAGCTATGCTGTAGGTACGCAAGTAGCCTATGCACGATGCCGTGCATTCATAGTTGTGCGTAGGTGTGTGTGTGAGTCACGCTGCAATTCATCGCCGAAACACTAGTGGCAGTGGAGTTTTTATGCTGGTGTTGAGTTTCCTACAGTTTCTGGTTCGGTTGTTGACAAATTCTCTGGCATCTGTTTACTTTAGAACAATGGCGAGTGTGTTGGAGCTGATAGATGTTGAAGAGCAATTACTTCTACATCGAAGAAAAAAAAGGCGTTGTCCATGTCATTCCTTCTAAAATGGCGGCGAGTCTGCCGGAAATGCAATGCTACCAAGCGGAATAATCGCAATTCTTGCGGTCTGTGTCACCTCGATGCGTAGTTACATCTTTGGGGAGGTGTATGTCCGGGTACAGCGGTGTTAGTGGATGCCACATTTTCCTTGTGCCCTTTGGATTTATGTAAAGACAAAAACATAATTCTAATGAGCCTAAAAAACATTACAATTAAAGGTTTACAACTTATAAACTGTATCTGTTTTGCCAACAAACACGTGCAACCATGTTGTAACTCCCATCTTAAAATCTTTCCCTCAGACTCAGACTTGCAATCTATAAAGACTATGCACTTGGACTGATGACGGTGGTGAAATATAGAGGGGGGCAACCTGCTGAAAGTAATGGACCTGCATCGATGTCCATCGATCTGAACCTCTCTCCTTCCAGCCACTTCACGTTCACTACATACGGGGCAAACATCAAACTGCTGCAGTGTGAGAGAGAGAGAGATTACGACGCTTTAGCTGGCCTGGCTGTCGAGCAGGAGATAAGCGGCATTAAGGAGCTCTGCCCTGATTGGGTAACTTCACTTATCACTGGCAGACAGTTTACTGAGGGCTAGGTCCCTATAGCTAATGGTCTCTGAGAGAAGGGAGTACGAGAGGGTCCAGCATTGAGGACAAAATGGGCAACAGGGTGCACCGGTCACACAGCTTGTAGTTTGGTCATCCATTTGTCTCAATGCAGAATGTCAACTTATGTGCATTGTCGTTTAGATACCAATCTGTAGCTCTATTGCCTTTCTCACAAGGTCAAAACCAAGACCGAGGTCTTTGTAGACTTCAATGCGGGAACAGTAGAGCTGCTGCAGATTCCTTTGTTTCCTATACGCTAAACATTTATGAAGAAATATAGACAGCATGGAAAAACACAGCCATAATGTCATTATTTGGCACGATCACATTCCATTCTCAGAGATTACACTTGTATCTACTGGTTCTTGTTTTGGAAAACCCAGCGAAACATCCCTTCTCTGAGGTCAGAAAAAAAGAAACATCACAAAGTATTTATGTGCTGCCATGAAAAATGTTTCCGATTTACTGTGGCAAATACAGTCATTCAAACCTCCATGTCCACATTTATTGGTTGCTTCACAAACCAGTAGGTACAGGAGTAATAGAGGAATATGGAAAATGGGGAAGCTGAAAACTATACTGTGCACTAATGGTTCATATATATATATATATAAATATGTCAATATATATATGAGAGACAATAAATATACAGTATCATAAAAGGTGGTGAATATCCAGTGAAACATTACGTGTGTCATTATGTCCATTTAAATGGGCTGCATAATGTCTTTTCATTATTGTTCTGGAATTTTTTCTGTCATTTATAAACTGTCTCAGACCAGTTTGACATATTTCTTTGAATGTGTCCCTTCTAGAATAAATAGCCCATTTAAAGGAAGATATCTCAATGGGATGTTGACAATAGACAGAGATGGTACAATACTTACCCGTTCAAATGTCTGAGCACATTAGTTTTGCCAGGAAGCTAAATACATTGATTAATGAGGAGAACTGCAGAAAACAAGGTTTGGGCAACCATTAAACATTGGAGATGGAGAGTTATTTGTTATTGCTTTGTATTTTTGTAGGTGATAAATCGTGTCATCTAATTTCTATCTGTGCAGCCCTACCTCTTCATATTGTATTGCCTGATCCAGTGATGACATGGGTTTTGTTTAGATCTGAAGAAATGTTCTAAAAGTTTAACAACAGGTGAATGAATCAAAGTCTATTGAGAGACGATCCAGATATAATGCATTCACCATTTGTCTTAACCTTTGAGCCCGTCGCTCAAAAAAATAAAGCCCACCTGCCCCAGTAGTTCATGTTCCCTCTGATCTTTGACACTGCGGCAAACGCACGATCCAGTTTGTATCGAACCTCCTCAGTTTGAAGCTGAGGCCTTTACATAACAGTGCAGGGCGCCTCCAAGCAAACCTAAAAATATGTCAACCTCAGGGTAAGCCTTGAACCTAAAGCAGGATGCCACGTGATGCTTCTTTCTTTAATGTAAGCTAATAGGTGCAGTTAAAATGGGAGGCAGTCCTCACCTGTTTGCCAGCAGCTAATGCAGGTTTAACAATCTTATAAGCAGAAAAACCGCACTGTATCTTGTTTGTTTCCCAGAAATTACATTTATGCATCAACTTAAAATTAACTTTACACATGAATGTTACAAAACAAAACGACTTCAACCAATCACTTGTCTATTTTATTTCATCGCCTTCGGCAACATGCATACAGATGTCCACAAAACCTGACTGATGTCACACTAAGCAGATAAGAACCATTAATAGCACAATGCGTGTCAGTGCTGGAACTGGCCAGAATTACTCAAAGCTTCTTACCACGAGTCACAAACCAATGACTAAGGCGGACCCAGGTCCCATGATTCAGACTTATCAGGGTTATAGTTTGCCGTCTACCATGTATATAGCAAAATAGTTTTACGAACATAAAATGCATTGACCTGCATGACTGTCCTGTTGCATTAATTCATTCATTCACTCAATGTCCTTTATCTTTAAGGCTTCAAATATGCAAAAACACACAAGTAAATGTTGTAACACATAACGGCAACACACTCCCTGTCTGGACTTTGTTGGGAAGAAACACTCCAGCCTAACTTAGATTTTTTACTGCATACAAATTCCCTTGTTTTCATTCGTTATGCTAAGCTAACTGGCTGCTGGGTCCAGCTTCATATTGAACACACATAGAGTATGAGGATTGAATCAATACGTTCATGTAAAAGGTGTGTTCAGACAGAAAGGGAATTTTTGTTGCACCATTACATGAAAGTGAATGGGAAGAAGTAAGAAAGTGTGAAGAGACATGCTCCAGGTGAGGATAACTTTTCAAACTTTTCTCAGAGCCTTATGAATCTAGCGTTACTCAATAAGCAGCGAGAAAAAAAGGAATGACTGGAGGGAAATAACAGTTGATGGAAGGTCCTGAGGTCAGAGGCTGGGCTGCCACCAAAAAAGCCAAAAACCTACAGCACCAGAGGCAATGCTAGATTTTACACTGCACACACGACAAACACAGTAATCCAGTGGGAAATTTTACTTCACACTTCACTGTCTGAACACACATTGAAGTGAAGAAGCTAAATTTCATTTTGACCATTGAGGTTTACTTTTTTTGATTCTTAAAATCTTTTAAATTCCAATCCCAATGACAGAAGTCATCTTGTTTTACAATAATAAGAATTCCTCGCAGACACAGATTTAACAAATTTACATTCTTATAGTTTTGTCATAGAATCTAAAGAGTCCTTGAAAAAGTGGAAACTTTAGCACAATTAAAAGAATTAAGGCAAAACACATGAAAATCTAGCCAATATTAGAACAACACTTTGCACAATACACCAAAAAGCAACTGCATGTGGTCTATGTATGCACATAATCAAAGCAGAGACCTAAAGCTGAGTATGTTAGAAATGTTAGAAATGTTAGGTACTTGATTGTTAGTAACTGCATTTCTGAAAGATTAGTAAAGAAAGGTTATGCTCTCTCTGAGGCATTGGATAGTTCCAATATGGAAAGAAAAATACCGGTATGGAGGCTAAAGTCGTCTGTCTCCTAGGCCCAGATTTACTGGAAGCTCCAGGGTTTGGCGAGTCTCTGGAGCCAGAGTGCTGTGTCTAAGTGAAACAGAATATTTGACAAGCTTCTTGGTTATACTGTTGACCCAATGGCTCTGCTTGGATTGATCAAGATTTTGGCGACTGGTTAAAGCCATGTAAAACTTTACAACACTTATAATATAAAAATAAAATGATGATTAAAAAACATTCTTTTAAACAATTGACTGTAAAATTTGGGATGAAAAAGCAACTGTGAGGATAAGGCCTACTGGAAAGTGCATCCTCACTTGTGCAACAGGTGGGGCTGCTCTAAAATCTTTTCCTTAATCATCACCCAAAACCAAAGTTAAACAGTAAACATTGCGTAAATGTACTTGTATCACACATTTCAGCTTTGGCTACCAAAGCAAGTATGAGAATGCAGCGTGGAGAAGCATGATATCCAACACAAAAGCTTGTGTACCTACCAGCTCAAGAAAGGTATTCTCCAGAGATTTATATTCCGGGGAGCTCTTGTTGAACAGGTCATCAGAAAACATCATGTTAGTGACCCTCAAGCTAAAGAACACCACTAACTCTTTGCTCCTGTCCACTGTGGTCATTAGAGGGGTGCTTGCTTGTCTCATGGCCGGTGCGGCTGTGGATTCATGCGGGCGTTCATCAGACTCTGAGGGGTATCCACTGCCGCTCTCTTCCCCCAGAGGCTCGGTCCCATCTGCCTCTGTCCCCTTCTGACTCGTTCCTACATCCTCTTGAGTGTTTGAGCCCTCATCAGGGACGTCCGTTGAGACTGGGGTCATTCCACTGTGCCCTCCGTTCGACCCATCGATGTCTTCAGGGGCGTCACCACTCTCATCAGGAGGCGGCAAAGGCTCCACAGTTGTTTCTGGTTCAATTCCTTGGGCTGTATCCTCATGAGAAGGTGGTGTGGGAACTGGGACTATAGCCTCGGTGCCAGACAGCTCTGTATCTGTAGGAACTGAGGACTCTGGTACATCAAGGTTAACCTCAACAGGATTATCCTTCATCACTTCTTCAGGGTCAGAGTCTGGAGTTACCAAGGGACCGTCTTCATTCTGTAGCTCCGGATGCTCCTCCTTGACACCATTAGTTGGTTCTTGTAAAATAAAACATATCATGAAAGAGTTTTTATACCTGGGAGGATATTTTGTGTATGCAAGAAATACACCTGTGCACTAGTTGTTCTTTTATAATTATCGTACATCTGGCAAAACTGCTCTACAGAAATACTTCTCAACTCCACCAAATTCAGTTCAACAAGCTTGATATATTTGGTATCTTTTAAAACTCTATTAGAATTTAAAATCAAGTTTGGGAGATTTGTTTGGCTGCACAGCATGAGGTTGTAATAACTGGACCACCAGACAAATTACTGCTTTTTAATGGGTTTTAATATGATGTACTGCCTCAGCAGGGAGCATCTCCATGAGCAAAACCTACCCACCAAATCTAATTGTACTGCCGATTCCATTTCCCTTAAGAGGCGACTGTTTTGTACTTACAGCATAGGAGGAAATAGGTCACTCTCTCTCAGTGCAGTAACTTGAATTTGTCGCTAAATTGTTTCATGTGATATATTAAATTGTCAAATTGGAGTTCATATTAAAAGGTTGCCGAACTTGAATGATAATAATAATCTGTACTTTTCACAACCCAGTACATGTGGATCAATACTAGACCGATCATAATTAATTCTATTAAATGGTAATTTAAGAAAATCAGAATCATATTTCCTTTGTAATTTCTTCCCTATGTTCTTTCCCAACCTCTTTTGATACAATGCTCTTCTCTTTTTTTCTGCTGTTATCTGATCAATGTCAGACACTTCGTAATCACTCTTCCTTGTTTGGGATCATCCAATCAATCCAGTTTGAATTTTGCCTCTCCATCTTCTTGTCTTTTCTGTCTCCTGCCAATAACAATAATTAGCTCCCACCATTTTCCAGACGTCAGAATAATAGAAAAAAACTGTGGAACCAGACACTGACGATGAAGTAATTAAGAAACACCACAGTCTACTGTTTGGTCGATAAAGTTCTTTAGACTTGTACCTGTCTCGCTTCTGATTGAAATTAAACATTGTGCTTTAAAGAGAAGATTCAACCTGACGCAGGCTTACCGTCCGTCACCTGTCCTTCACGTTCGGCCTCACCTCCCTGGTCTTGCTCAGTTGGTGGCATCACCTCCACCTCTGGTACTGCTTCCTCCAGCTCTGTGGTAGTTTCTAATATTGTTTCTGGGATTAAAACGTCTCCAGCCTCTTGAGACGGATCTGCTGCGGACTCCTCCTCCACTGTGGCCATCAGAGGGCTCTCATCAGGGACAGCAGTATTGGCTTCTTGGAGGGTGTTTGGGGTGAAAGGCACAAAGGTTTGTGTTTCTGGTTTGATGGTGTAAGCTTCTAGAGAGTGTTCTATCGCTGTCACTGGGGGGAAGAAATCATAAGTTGGGGTGTTGTCCTCTGTCTGGGTCTTTGTGTCGGCCTCTGGTACTATGCTCTCAACAGAGTTGATGCCGAGCTCAGCAACTGGATAAATTGTAGTCACTGAAATGGAAAAGTTGAAACATGTTCCCTGCGTTAAACTCATGTTGTATTTTTATTTAGTTAAAAGTGAGTAGCCTTTGATATTCATCCTACCAGCCTCAAAGTTGAGTGTCTGTATATCCAGTGGTAGTGACGGCTCCTGTTTTAAAGCCTTCTTAATGATGCTTTTCAGTTTAGGAGCATTTACGTCTTCGTCTGTTTCCTGTTCAGGCTCATCAAGACCCTCGGGATCATCATTGAGCTCTGTCTCTCCGTTAAAGACCACAGCGTAGCGCATAGACACATCCTCCGTGCTGATCAACACAACAAATCAGTCAGGATCCTTCAGAGCACACACACCTCAGTGGATGTGTACTAAGGCAGAAATGTCTGAGTTCTATCCCAACAAGAATAATTTGGGTGATGTTGTATTTTCTCTTGATACTTCAGCAATAAAATTTCACTTCAAAATTATGTTTTAAGTCGATGAAACGATCTGTGATGAAACTCACCGAAATCCCAGAACACGAATCTCTTTGAACCCTGGAACTTTTTCAAACACATGAAGCATCTTTACAAAAAAAAAAAAAAGAGAAGTCAGAAATTAAAATGATTGAGTTGTATTTTTAACATCTAATTCATCTTATTTGAAGCATTGATTATTAACATTATTTTATTGTAAAAGCCTACAACACCACCTTTGACCCCTCACTTCAAATAACAACTACTGACAGCGAACTAGCCAGTGCATCAAAATTAATCACATAAGGGCAAACATAGTCAGAGCTCTCAGTGACTCTGCTGCTTGTAAAAAGTGTCAAAAAGTAGAAGGTTTAATAGCCACTAGCTAGCTGAGCACAGGAGGATGAGGAGGCCAGAGCCCATTGGATGGTGTGACTGTGTATGTAGCATGTGTTTAATCACTGGTGACGGGTCGGGTCAACAGACCGGATGGTCCAGGTTTGACTTAGAGATAATATCGGGTGTGGGCAGGTGGGGGTTTACAAAAACTGCAGGATTTTGCTACAAGCGTCAATGGAGAGTCCAAACCACGCCTTCTCCCACCCTTGACCATATTTAGAAAGTTCCTTCCCGGTTGCCCTTCATGGCTGCAGCTGGACATACCTCATTGGATTAGGGGATTTGGGAACAGGTGTGTGCATGTGGGTTGTGGGAGTCAGGTGATGGCGGGAGCTGGGAAACACTGACGACTACTGCAGGGCGGGGAAAGAAGTATTACTAGTATGCAAAAGAGCCAGGTAACATTGAGAAGTGTTAGTCATAACAACTTGCAGATGCAGTTAATTCTTCATCCAGAATCAGCAAATGGAGGATGTGTTAATACCATAATCATTACATTTATATTTGGACGTAAACGTTAAAGAATTTGTTCTCACAGTTCACATTTAAAGAAACACACTTATGACCTTTCTCTTTTATCCGACATTATCTAAATGAAAGCAGAGACGCATTTCTGTCAAAAGATATGACGCGCTGATGGCTTTACACCATCAGAAGTCATCCCTAAGAGCTGTGGCCAACGCCTTCTTAGTCAGAGATTATCTACTTGATTAGATCTGACTATTCCGGGCTTGTGGTAATTTAGAAGTCTTATCTTAAGACCCTTGCTTGCAACTTTAAAGCTGTTAAATCAATCAGGGTGCATTTTACTCCTAATGATACAATATTATAGAAGCCTGTGTTCATACAAAGTTCAGTGTCAGTCATCTCGCATGTGGAAAGAATGGTTTAGTTGTGAAGGGTAAAATAAGGGAAGAGGAAAACAGAACAATTATATTTTGTCGGCAAACAGGGAATGGACGACTACCAGCTGCTGTATGAGCTGAAGTTTATGAGAACACACACAATAAAACACAACAGCTGCTTTTCCAGAAGAGTTTCATTACCCGGAGTAGGATTTTTAAAAGCTTTTCCGGTACATAGATCACATCACGGGGTTTTGTGTGTCTGAATGTAAAGCTCAGGACACGTGTCAACATGAACACTGGGTGCGCAAACGCACCCATGACTCTCTCTCACCTTGTCTGTGAGCTCTCGGGTGATGTCGCTGTAATGCGGAGACGTGGGGTCGCTGAGGAGCTCGCTGTACGCCGGGTCCACGATGGTGACGCTGAACTCCACGATGTACTCCTGATTGTTCTCTTTTATCATGTTGGCATTCTGCAGTATGTGGCAGAGAGAAGTGCATTACATTGAAGGTAACTGTGTTCAATATGTTGTGGTCCAGGTAGAAGAGTCAAGGTTTAGGATTCTGGATGATCAGGTCAAAGGTGACCACCTCACCATGTCATCGTCCGTTGGAAGCAGAATCAGAGGCGGTGTCCAGGTACCTGAGACAAAACCGCATCCCGCCAATTATTTATGGAGCAGTCATGCAAATGTATTGACAATCATTGTAAACAGACTGAATTGCTTTAATTAAAAAATATTGACACATTTGTGTCCAACTCACACTCCCTCCCATGCTCTGGGGTTCCAGTGACAACTCTGGAGAAAAAAAACAGAACATCATTATAAGAAATGTATTCATAGACGACTACATTTTCTGGACTAAATTAGTGTTAATCAAGAATCCTCATGCTTAAAACCAATTTTATTTTTTGTCCGCAATATTAGATGTGGCAGTGCTTTAGTTGTTCTGAACACTGAGCTGAGGAGTTAATAGATTCTCCAATGCTTCTGAAAATAAAAACACTGGTAATTGACAATAATTAAAAAAATAAGGTTTTGCAGTTTTTGTAAACTCCTGAAAACACACAGGAAACTCACATGTATTGCAAAATTTAAGAGGGAAGTCTGCACCCACCCTTCAAATTCAGCCTCCTCTGCCACTCTCTGGAAATTAGAAACAAGATGTTGACAATCACAGATGTATAATGGAGGAGGATAGAAAACAGGATTGCAGTATAAAAAGAAAATGTATTGTTCTGTGTTTGTGCTGGACTCACTCTGGCCACCATCTCCAGATGCTCCTGAGTGCTGCTGAAGTTCTGGGCCAGCTCGTCCATGCAGAGGTTTTCGTGCTGGCAGGTGTAAACCCACGCTCTGAACTCCTCCGAGTTCGGGACCCGGTCCAAGAAGATTCGGAACGCTTCCCAGATGGCCTCCTGACAAACTGCACGTAAATCATGCCACGTTACGGACGTCTCGCTTTGACTTTTGAGGAAATGCATCATAATACACTTGTGAATGCAGAGCACATAATGATACAATTATCATAAAGTCAACAACATATAACTGGACAGCACAGTAATGCCTGTTTCAGTAAATGTCAAACTGCATTTCATGTTCTGACATTTGTGTGAATATTAAAATTACGAGCACAAAAGGCGCCCTGAAGCAACAGTGTGCTTTATCAGCCTCTGTGGCACAAACAAGCTCCGCATTGTCCAACATATTGATGCCTGTGGGAAATTTATTCTCGAAGAAAAATCACAAAGTGCTTAGGTTCAATACACCAAATTAATCAGCCGCATTTTGAAACGATGCACAGCAGCTGTTGTGGAACAGTTTGTATTACCAACCAAATGCAGCAGCCAGGCAATCTCAGACCTCTCAAATCACCCACAATCCATCTCTCTAGGACAAAAGACATTTGCATATAGCTTCATTATATCAAGTGTTTTCTTTGTGCGTATCCATAAAGTCAGGAGTGAGCAGCCTCATTCGGTGGCAGCAGATTGACATCACTGGCCTCTAGAACAGCAAAAACACTGCATATCTACAAGTGATTTAGAGAATCTACATATCTGTGAAGACAGGAATAGAAATATTACAATAGAGTTTTAAAAAAATCAAAGAAGACTATTATTCAACTCATGAATGCAAACTCTGACACTTCTTCAATTAGCAGATATACGCAGGTTTGTGGGTAAAACCTCCAAAAAAAGGCTCTCCCATTGCCAGTAGAGGAGTCTGCCTTTCCATTTTTTTCCCCAGTGCATCATCGTCTATGTCGCAAACGCACCGAAAACTGAGGCGCTGTCTCACCTCGGTCACCAGGGTGTCACATTTCCATCAGTGGAGCCAGAGCTGATTAAAACCTGTGTCTGTTGCAGAGTCATTTGACCCAGGGGTGAATGCTGATTGAATCCATTCACATTGCAGACAAAATCCAGATGTTAGTGGGCGTTTTTTTATCAGTGGAAATGTTAATTCTCATTAACACTGTGTTTGAGGACAGAATCATTGATTGCATTAAAATATATACACTCCTGATTATTACCTTCGTCAAGGAGGTTATGTTTTCACCCATGTACGTTTGTAAGCAGGATTACTACTGTATGGATCTCCACAAAATTATAAAGGATGTGGTACATGTCAGGGAAGAACCCATTACATTTTCTTGTAGATTCAAATCAGGGGGCAGAATAATTCATGGATCTTGATGAAAAATCTATAGGTATGTTAAATTGCATGTGGTTTGAATACATTTAATATTTCACATTAGAATTGTGACAGTGGACATGACTTTCTTACCCCTGAGCTTGTAATAAGCCCGATGGCTGCCGATGACAGCCTTCATTGTCTCCTGGGGACACACTTTGACCCCCGTGGTGAACAGCGCTGACCTTTTGGTCCGATGTTCGTTCCGCTCTGCTCTGACATGTGCAGAGTGTCTGATTGGTCGAGAAGCTTGCAGAAAGTGTCTGTACTTCACATCCCTGAGTCCAGAGAAACTGGGGTCTTGAAGGTCTGTGAGACGAACATGTGAAGCAAGAAGATTAGGAAGGATTATGATGAAGGGACCTTTTTCATTTTTACAATATTAAGAAAATAAAATTCGACTTAAACATCTGTGCACTTTGTGATAAGGCGCTTAAATGTGTGGACTATTATGTGTGTGTGAGATTTCTCACTTAGCAGTGCAGACCATTTGTGCAGATGGCTTTTGTAATCAACAGCCGATGGGTGACAGCACAAAGTCAAAACTGCACCCTGTGTATGTGTGTAGTAAATGCTTTGTTCTTAGTGGCACCTAAATTATGTTCAATGGCTTATAGAGGTTTAGAGATTCTGTAGCGGACGCTGCACGATTTAAACATAAGAATTTGCCATCGTTCAGAAAGGAATTACTCGACAACCAAATTTTAATTGTCCGTAAAGAAAAGTAAGCAAAGCAAGTGTCAAAGTGTACATTTGTAAAGCCGTTATTCGCTTTTAGACATGAGTGTTCTGAAAATTCTGTCAGGAGTTCTTCTTTCACATATAAAGAGTGCAGCAGCACATTGTCTGGGTCAGATGTATTCACAACAACACGTAACTGGTGAGGTGAGGAGTGGTGTCTGCGTAGAGCGTGCAGGAGGCGGGACATGACGTATAAAACCCAGCAGTGGAAAGCATGTGTTTTTATTTGCAGCTCATCAACACCAGCTTTGGATCTCATTACCAGAAGCTCTCAAATCTCGTGTTTCCAATTTGTCAACATCTTAAAAGTTTATGTCACCTCTTTTTCATAATGAGATATTTGTATTCTTTCAGTTCAGAAACCTCATCAAATTTTCATTTTCATGCTGCAGTCTCACATGGACTCACTCTGACACTCTCTGGAAATTTAATAAGGGGTTTTGAGGAAAAAGTTGCACAAAATATCCAGAGCAACTGACTCAGACATTTGCATTCTCGCATACATCCCCTCCGGTAAATGTCCGTAAAATGTCCAGACTTCAGAGCAGGTCTGAAAGCAGCTCAAGTCTTAAAGCGTGTACCCAGGTATCAGGCAATTAACACCAGCTTCCACTAAGGAGTATTTAATGTGACAGTTACTTAATCCAACAAGTTACATCATGGCATCGGCCTCTTACTGTAAAGTAACTGCTGCCTTTTCCTGCCACCTCTGCTCCGTTGGTGCGATGACTTTATTTGAGCTTTACACTTCCTTGTGGTGTGAAAACACCTGGGGCCTGGAGCTCTGAGGTGCTGCGTCGTGCTTGGACAGGTTTTGAACGCGGGGAAAAGTGCAGAGATGTGTTGAGAGAGCGAAGGAGCAACACTCTCTTCTCCCTATGGATCCGCTGCTGAGACATCCTTGGGCAACTTAACCCATGATGCATCACTGCAGCTGCTCAGCGATCAAGAATCAAAGGATGAGTTTGTACTGGGCGAGGTGTGAATGTGCAGAAATGCATACATGATTTTATTCTAGACCGAAAACCAATCCTGTGAAAAGCACTTCAGTAATAACTCAACCGTAGTCAACTGAATTCTTCGGCCACCACCTCTGAATCATCATGATATCTCAGGACGAACTCCACAGAACAATCCACTGTTTGCAAGTGTGCAATATTATTTTACAATGTGTATGATAGGATACTTTTATCTTTCTTCTATTTATTAATCATGAATGTGGACAGATGTGTGTGTATGTACGCATCGTTTTTTAGGTGCTGCACAACAAATTAGTTTGAACGGCACTAATTTTCTGATCACGTTAGTAAAGAAAACCAACTCAGTCGTCCTGGTGAGGCCTTTCCCTGAGGTAATTCCACCTCATTACACAGTGTGCCAGTCAACGCTGTCTAACACAGTCACCCCATTGAATAAAGCTATTTTAGAAGAAAGGCACTCATTGTGATGCCAGGTGGCAAACCTCAGAGGGCTTCTTAAGACAATAAGCCAGGATTTATGAGCCCCAAAACACCGCCCGGAGGTCACCAGCCTCAGATAACAAACTGTGCCTCCTCTGGATGAGAGGACAGAGTGAAGGTAATGGGAAAATAAAACAGAGCAATAGAGTGTAAATAATATAATCACTGTTATATCTGCGTCAGAGCTTTGAGCCGAGGAAGATTTGTTTTGGGGGGGGGGGGTAAACAAGAGAGCGATCTTTGTACATAAAGACAACTGAACTGTGCTATCTGATCTCCAGCACGTCGCAGTGACACTGTGCGGAGGCCGACCCACAAGTGACGACATCACACAGCAACAGACCGGAGGGTGTCACATGAGGACACGCTGCACAGCTGTAAGCGTGTGTGCTGTAGCATCTGTAGGAGGTGGACACAATATCGCAAACACCCGTGTGAACATACGTCTGCCTCTGTATGTTGAACCTGTGATTGGCTGGCGATCTTTGGTGTGCCCAGCCCCTTTCCTGATTTCAGCTGGGATCGGCTCCAACTCCCCCCACGACCATCAGAGCATAGATAATGAAAATAACACGACTATGTGAAGGTATAATTTAATAGTTTTAATCATGTTGTTTGTTTAATTACACAGCGCTGATTCGTTCTCTCAGAGCTTGTGGGTTCATCTTGTCTTGTTTAACGATGCTGTGTTATTAACCCACTGATTGATGGAAACATTGATTCCCATGTTATTGTTGCAAATTATCACAATTTGTGTGTTATCATAGTGTCAGAGTTATATTTCTATGTTGTCATCACAGAGCTGACACTGATGATGACTGAAGTGTTTGTCCGACCTCGTGGAGATACTTAGTATTTGGTGGCTGTTGCATTGCATTAAACTGCTCAACAGGTGTGTGTTGCTGATGTTTTATCCATCTCCTCATCATCATTGCATAACTGAAGCAGAATAATGTCCGTGCCCGCTGTACAGTGAATGATTTCTAATAATTAGAAAAACAAAACACACATTCATTCATGTTTTGTAGGGGAAATGGTGTTAATCACTGAATTACACATTAATAATAACCTCAACAATGAACAATATTGTTTCCCTCAAATCCAAATTTGGCCAAACACCAAGAACATACAAAGAATGTGTGGCCATAGACTTACGGGCAAAAACATCCCTGTTTAAGGTCTGTCAAGCAGAGCCATTCACCAACTCAACCCTCCCCCTCCAGCGGGTCAGGATTTAGCCTGAAATTCAGCCAAGTCCTGAGTGTTTTCATTAGGAATCAAGAAAATATATGAATGGGGTTTTTTTGGGGGAAGATTGAAGACTGACTCGCACATGCTCATACACGGGGGCCTGAGCAGGAGGAGGGAGCGTCAGAGCGAATGGCCCCTAATGCCCGGTGCAGCCGCAGAAAAAGGCCTCACAGCAGAATTACAAGCCAGAAAAGATTAGCGTCCTGCGACACTGGAAACAGAATGGCTTTTGTTTCCTTCAGGATAATGAGCTCACCCGGGCACATCACACTGAACAAGACAACCCGTGCGGACGCAAATGTTATCACTGGTGAAACGATGTTATCGTTCCCAGCGAACTTCCATTATATGTCATCGCCCATTAAATTCACAGGGTGAATATTCATGGCATTAAAAGTGGCTCATCGGCAGCTTGACATTTTCTGAAAAGCAGAGTTTGAGGACGAGCGTTTGTAGTTTTCAGAGGATTTTGTCACACATACACACTGTAAACTGGAAAACGCTGTTGCCCTTGAAGTGACTCACCACCTCTGTCGTGCAGCAGAACGTCACTGATGAAAAATCTGGAGGATTTCTCATTAAGTAAACTGAAAGCAATGTGCACAATGTCCTTTATTCTTCCTTTCTTCTAATTTCTTCTTGATCCAGGGTGGGACGGAGCTGTGCGCAGATTATTGACAGAATTGCTCGTGTACTTGCTAAAAGTGCAGCGTTAACAAGTTAGATTGTTGTAACTTTCTGCAGAAAGATCCAACTACTGAAACTTTTCATTCCCCGGTTATAAAACACAAGCAATAACTTCTTACAAAAACTCTGAAAACGGATGCCAGCCTGGATTCTTACCTTTGATTTGACTTGCATGGAGGGTTAACACACACAAAGTGAAGAATAGTCCTGACTTCAAAAGCATGATGGGCTAGTTTATGTGGTTTTCAAGCCCCAAGTTGTCATTTGTAAAGAGACGGTTGTAAAACAACAATAAGATCCAGAACCGTTCTATAGCTGGTCCGCTACTGAAAGAGGGAGGTCCAGTCCGCTCTGATCTGAACTCCAGCTCAGTTCCTCAGCAGCCCCTCAGTTCCTGGTTGCTGTTGGATCCCTGTTGACATCCGAGGTGGCTGCATGGATGGATGAGCATAGGGAGCGAGGGAGGGAGGAGAGGTCGAGGAAGGAGAGACGGGGAAAGAACGGATGGAATTTTGGCTCTGGAGTTTCCTCCTGCTCTGTCAGTATGACAACAGTGACAAGGTTAAAAAAGCAGGCTGCGATCTCTGCCTAATCCCTTTACCTTCTTCTTGCTGCTTGTAATCCCTGCTGGGCCACGTGGCTGCTCGGCCTCATCCTGTTAGCCACCTGCTGGACCCTCATCTGTCAGCTGAATAAACTTGGGGAACTGCCAAACCGGCCGAGACCGGAGGACTAAACCCCCACAGTTGCCCCAAGTTAACACCGACACCGAGCCTCTTTGTGCGGCCTCTGCGTGTCACTGTCTCACTGCCTAACTCTCTCGGTTAAGATTTCTCCTTCCAGTGTGCCAACGGCAAATCCCTGCCTCCCAGACCCGTGAACTTGGGTGTCAAGTGAGGTCAGGAATGCAATTAGATAGTTTAGTTGGTCGTTTAGCTACAATGTGCCAATGTGCCGTCTTACTCCTGCTGCTTTCTTCAGCCTTTAAGGCCTCTATTCTGACTCTCTGGTGTTCACATCTGACCCTGCTCCTTCCTTTCTCCCTTTATCTCCTGTGGTACCTGTGAGCCTACGGACAAATGAACCCACCACCACCTCTTCAAACTCCACATACACTGCGAAAAAGACTCTTCTCCTCTTATCAGATCCAAAGATAATTTTACAGATATGCCAAAAAGCAGGATCAGGGTCTTCTCCAATGATGATGTTGCTCCTCTGCAGGTTCTGGTGCTGAGGGTGGTGACTGTGCAGGAAGAAGTAAACAGAGACGGCAGAGGCGTGTGTGGCCTCTCATGTTGTGGTGTATCAGGGTGGGAAGGCTCCATGTTATTAGTCTCCACCCTCCTCACCTCTTTCTGTGAAGAGGATTAGCAGCCTCTGTTGCTTGTTACCCTGTGAATAAGCCCTCATCAACCCGGGCTGTTCGCTGACACAGTAAACTGAACCTTGAACTGACGGCTGTGGAGGTTGCAGAAGATGTCACGGCTTTCACACGTTGGCAAACAATTTCCTGTTTACCGCTCGAGCAGATATGGAGCAGTCACCAGGTATGCTGGTGCTTTAGAGCTGCCTGCATCGGCTGGACATGTCATGAGTGTGAACGTCCACAACAGAGCAGTTGTGAGCTGTAAAACCAAAACAGCTCACAACTGCTCTGTTGTGTCTTCAATCTAAAAGAATGGTCTGTAGGGCAGTAGGAGTCAGATCATAATCAACTGCAGGTTAATCACCAATAGACCTCTCACATTAGACATATTAGTGCAGCGTCAACCCTTCAAAAGATGGAGAGAGGATGCACAGTTTTCTCTGACGTCTGCAAAGGTTCGTGCTTTTCAAGTCATTTGTGTTTGCAACATGTTACGAATCCCGTGTTTCACTCACAAATAACTTCCAACTTTAGTTACGTGCAGTGGTAAGTTCTTGTCTCTTGGTTCGAATCCCAGCTTGATCTGGGCCTTTCTGTGTGGGGTTTAACATAACAGAGTTCAGACTGGTGAGTCCCATTTGTTATGTATTTAAATCCGATAGTTTTTAACCTTGACCCAAATCCTTCAGGATTACGGTCAGGGTCACAGATCAGGTATCAGTCAAGCTCAAAGATTTTAGGTTCATGCTGAGGATTAACAGGAAATTTGACTTAAATCCTAAGTGTTATTATTTTCATGTCTAAAACTAGTTGACACTAATGCAACACCGATCACTGCTGAATTTGAGCATCATTTATGCATGAAAGCAGCCTAACCTTGCAGCCTGTTCTTGTAGATTAATAATGTATTTTTAACTTCACTGTATATTCATGAGCCACTTTGATATTTCTCCCCAGATAAACAAAACCTTGTCAGTCTCGAGCAGGATTTTATTCTGACAAGCTTGACCTTCTCCCACGTGGCTGATGACTTGAATCATTGTCCAATTAGAGGGGTTTGTTTAAATCATGCAGCAGGGGGAAAGTGGTACTTGCCATCTGTCAGAAGGGGTTATTTCATTGGGGACAGAGGCAGGGTGTCTCTGGCTGGAAGAGTCTGCCGCAGCAAAAGGCACCTCTGCTGCTGCATCCATCATCTGCGCAGTAAGTTATGGATGTGGAATGTGTATGTGAAGTATTGCTGCCATTAGTGTGTCATTGTTCTGCCTCCATGCCGCTGACAGCAGTGGCCGGGAGTTTTCAGGTTGTCTTAAACTTCCTCGTCATTCTTTGAAACATGACATGTCAGGCTGGGGAATTTCTTCAAATTTGGTAAAAACATGCAGTTGCCTTATGAATGTGATAGCTCAGGAACACCTCCAAGGAATCCTTAAAGATTTGGTACAAACATTCATTTGGACTCACAGATTAGAATTTGGTCGTCAAAGGTTGGTCAAGGTTGTCACTTGGACTCAAAGAGAAACTGATTAGATCAGATTAGATGGGTCAAAAGTCACGTTGACTTGAATTCAATATTTCAGGAACTTCTTGAATAAACTTTAAACTTGACTGGTTTACAACCGCGGGACGGTTTTCTGTCATGTTTTAACACAGAACACTTGAGTTAATGAATTGTTTGAATGAATGAATTTGCTTTTCATAATGTTGGGTAGTCACTATGAAAGAAGTTAATCAGGAGTAGATCCATTCAAATTGAAGCGTTCCGATTAAGCTGAAACGCAGTACAAACATTTTCAGTCTAATTTGTGTTAAGACCTGAATCTGACCTTCTTGCTTCAATTCACCAAATAAAACCCAAGAAAAGTGTGAAAAGAGCATGTGAAATCAATTGAGAGAGAACAGTGACCCAAGTGAAAGCAAACTGGGGAGACTTAATTTTTGTTATCTGTTAAATTAAACATTTAAAATATTCAACATTTTGTGAACTCTGGTGTTACCTGAATGAGACAGAAACTTAATTCAGGGACTATAAGAAGTCAAACTCTTTCTAACAGTTATTATCATTAAAGTAGCACTGACTTCTAAATCTTACGAAGTTCATACAATTTGATATGGTATACATAATATATATGGATCACATATATTATATTGATTTAAGTACATTATGGACATTAATAGGAGCCAGGCAGACACGAGGAAAACACAGCTACATTTAATCATCAACTGTGGAATACAATCTAAATGTTTTTGGGTTTTTTTCTCATGTTATTTCCAAATTTATCAGTTTTATTATCAGAATTATCCGTCCACCCACTATATAAATAAAGATTATTATTACTTTCTATATCACTTGTTCCTAGTAGTAAAGCTTGAGCCAAACCCAGCTAACATCGGGTCAGAGGTGGGGTACGACTTGGAAAGCACACAGAGACATGTCTGTGATTGTTGAAAGAAACTGAAGAACCAGGAAAACCCACAGACACGGGGAGAACATGCAAACTCCACAAAGTCACGATGCAGCCGAGCTGGGATTCAAACTAAGAGCCATTTTCTTCTCATATTGACATTCAATCATCGTCATATTTTGTATTGAATGTTAGCTCAGTATCTGTACATTTTAGGTGGCTTAGGTTTAAAATGACCTCTTTACATTCTGTACACAGCCTGCCTCTGCAGAGCAGTGAGGCATGAGAAAACCTCATCAGATACACAACACATAAAAACCTGTGTGATTCATTCCCAGGTTTAACCTTCCCCTGAAGAGTGAAGAAAGACAAGTACCCGGGGCCTAACAGTCTAATATTAGTCATGTTTGTGGTAATGCGCCTCTTTGGGAAAATCCATTCTGGGCTGATTATCAGTGTGATCCACTCTTCTGCACCTGCGGCAGTGAAAGTGCCATTGCCAGCACATGGCACTGTGTGTGTATGTGCCAACATTAACTCTGTGACCTGGTGCTGGAGTTCATACGTGAGGAAGTTCCTACTGCGCCATAATCTGTGATGAAGCTGTGTTTATATAGCAGCCAGCAGTGTAAAGGTCAGTTCTGGCTGCATGTATCATGGATAACCGTCAGGACACTCAGCAACTGAGCTCTAGATAAGATTATAATTTGTTGTGAAAGTAGAAGTTATGCATCTGGATGAGGAATTTTAGATTTTAAGTCTTCCCATGGTAAACATTTCCTTCCAGTTTTTCCAAGTGTCAATTAATTGTAGTGTTAAATCTTAAATCCAACCAATCTGGGGGACTAAAAAAAACATTTCTTGCACAACCACCACCAGAGGGCAGCATGTTTAACTGTCCCATCCTGTGCATAAAGATGGATGAGGTGACAGTTCCCCAAAAAGTGAAGCCAAAGCATCTCAATCACCACCTGGTGGCTGGCTGCAGTATAGGTCATAAGTATAAGTGTTAATGAATGGGACATGGACCAAACTAAAAAGTCGGAGAAACTATATAAAGTATGTATATATATCTATTTTTCTCAAGGGTAGTTTCTGTATTTTTTTTTTTTTCATACCACCCTGTTTGTCCAAGTGCCCATGTTTCTGATAAGTGTGGTTTTAATTAGATATTTGATGCTATGAAAATAAGAGACTGCCTCACTTTTGGTCGGGCACGTGTAGGAGGCCCTGTGCAAGATGGCAGCACTTGAATATGAGATATTTTGGCATCACTTCTGTGTAGTGGGAGGAAGTGGAGATGCATCGTCCATCTTTTTTATACAGTGTATGAGCCCATCAAATGGAAAAAGCACAAGTGTATGAACTCTGTGAAAAGGACAGAGTGTGTTCGCATTCTGTAACAATTCTCAAAAGCTCATGAACATGATCAGAAACAAAGCAGGAACAGAACAGATTGCAACGTAACAAACAGGGATGAAACAGACAATCTTGCACGGTGAGGGGAACACAGAGACTATACAGGAGGCAGCTAAAGGAAACAACCA